TGAGGTACCAGACCCCCTCCCCCCTCAGGGTGCCGCTCCCTCAGGTGTGTCCCAGGTAGACCCGGGTGAGCCTGTCGAGGTAGCTGTTGACTCGCGTCCTGCGTCTGGGGGTGCTGAGCCTGGGAGTGCTGCGTCTGAGGGTGCGGAGCCTAGGGGTGCTGAGCCTGGAGGTGCGGAGCCTGGGGGTGCTGAGCCTGGAGGTGCGGAGCCTGGAGGTGCGGAGCCTGGAGGTGCGGAGCCTGGAGGTACTGAGTCTGGACGTGCTGAGTCTGGGGGTGCTGAGACTGGGGGTGCTGAGTCTGGGGGTGCTGAGCCTGAGCGTGCTCCACCTGGAGGAGCCCTCTCCTCCCAGCAGCTGCAGGAGAGGTACCTCGAGTACTGCCGCCTCCGGAGAGGTGCTTCTGGAGCTCGTCCCGGTACTTCCCCTCCTACCCAGGAGCTCCCTCCCATTCAGGTGATCCGCGAGTGGTACACGCGGCGCTGCAGTCTTCGTAGTGGTGCTCCTGGTGCTGCGGACCCGAGCGGTGGTGCTGTTGCTGGTGCTGAGGACCCGGACGCTGGAGCTGCTGCTGGTGCTGAGGACCCGGGGGCTGGAGCTGCTGCTGGTGCTGAGGACCCGGGCGTTGGAGCTACTGCTGGTGCTGAGGACCCGACCGGTGGCGCTGCTGCTGGTGCTGAGGACCTGACCGGTGGCCCTACTGCTGGTGCTGAGGGCCCGGGCGGTGGCGCTGCTGCTGGTGCTGAGGACTCGGGCGTTGGAGCTCCTACTGGTGCTGAGGACCCGGGCGTTGGAGCTGCTGCTGGAGCTGAGGACTCGGGCGTTGGGGCTGCCACTGGTGTCCCTGCTGCTTCTGGAGACGCTGCGCGGCCGCGACCGTACTTCGTACCGCTCCTTCAGCAGGTTCTTGGTCAGGCTCCTCCTCCTAGTCCTCCTCCCTCCGTCGAGTGTCCTCTGCCTGTCCAGCCGCAGTCACAGTTACCGCCTGCCTCGCCTCTCCCTGCTCCCTCTCCTTACGCTGGTCCCACAGGAGGTCTTACAGAGCGTCGTGAGCCTGAGTCTCGTCCTGCGTCGCCTGTTCGTACTGCTCGCACTGGTCGTCGTGTCCTACGTGAGCGTCCTCCTCCTGTCCCTGGCACTCACTACATGACCCTGCGTCCCTCCACTGCTCCGCAGCGTGTCCCGCTGCCGTCTCCTCCTGCGTCCTCTCTTCCTACTCTTCCTGACCTGGAGTCTGACTCCCGTCGTGCTGCCAGTCCCACTGTTACGCGTCTCCTCGCTACAGTTGTCACTGACCCGACCTTTGAGTCCTCTGCTGCGTCTGCTCTGGTCGCTGAGTTGGTTGACTTTGCTGCTCGCTGTCGCCTAGACTACGCTGCCAGCCTTGTCGCTGAGTCTGAGTCTGCGTCTGCCTGTCCTCCGTCCGTCGGGGGTGAGTGTGCCCTCGGCACGGACGTCCTTGAGGACAGACAGGAGGAGTTCCACTGCCTTGCTGCTGCTTTGCCCCGTCTCGTGTCCTTGCTAGTTGCCCCTGAGGGAGACCCGGATGCACCAGACATCCCGACCCCACGCTCTTACGCTGAGGCGATGGCGGGTCCCTACTCCTCTCAGTGGCAGACAGCCATGGACGCAGAGATGGCTTCCTGGAAGTCCACAGGCACCTACGTAGACGAGGTTCCCCCTCCTGGGGCGAACATCGTCAGTGGCATGTGGATTTTCAGGGTGAAGCGGCCGCCGGGTTCTCCGCCTGTCTTCAAGGCGCGCTACGTGGCTCGAGGCTTTAGTCAGCGAGAGGGAGTAGACTTCTTTCAGACCTTCTCCCCCACCCCGAAGATGACTACTCTTTGGGTGCTGCTGCACATAGCCGCTCACCGCGACTACGAGCTTCACTCTCTTGACTTCAGCACTGCTTTCTTGCAGGGCAGCCTGCACGAGGAGATCTGGCTGCGCCGCCCCCCTGGCTTCACTGGGTCAGTTCCTCCTGGCACCCAGTGGAGGCTTCAGCGGCCGGTCTACGGTCTCCGCCAGGTGCCACGTGAGTGGCACGACACACTGAGGACGACACTTGCGGCTCTTGGGTTCGCTCCCTCTACTGCTGACCCGTCGCTGTTTCTACGCACCGACACCTCGCTGCCGCCGTTCTACATCCTCGTGTACGTCGACGACTTGGTCTTTGCCACTGCTGACACCGCGGCACTCGCCCACGTGAAGTCGGAGCTGCAGAGGAGACACACGTGCACAGACCTGGGTGAGCTGACGAGCTATCTTGGCTTGCGGATCACCCGGGACAGAGCACGGCGCACCATCACCCTGACTCAGTCACACATGGTGCAGCAGGTTCTCCAGCGCTTCCGCTTCACGTACTCCTCGCCTCAGTCCACTCCTCTGCCTACCGGTCACTCGCTCTCAGCTCTGCCTTCGGATGAGTCCGTAGAGCCGAGTGGCCCGTATCCAGAGCTTGTGGGCTGCCTCATGTACCTGATGACCTGCACTCGACCTGACCTTGCATACCCTCTTAGCATCCTAGCACGCTATGTCGCTCCTGGCCGTCACCGGAAGGAGCACATGGATGCTGCTAAGAGGGTGTTGCGCTACTTGTGCAGTACGTCGGGCATGGGGCTTGTGCTTGGAGGGCGAGACCGGGTTGTTCTCACAGGGCACTCAGACGCTTCTTGGGCAGACGACCAGGCTACTCAGCGGTCGTCCCAGGGTTACACCTTCAGCCTTGGCTCTGGCTCAGTTTCTTGGCGTTCTACTCGCTCTTCTTCTGTTCTCAGCTCCAGTTGTGAGGCTGAGATCTACGCCACAGCCATGGCTGCTCAGGAGCTACGCTGGCTGACCTACCTGCTGACCGACCTCGGAGAGCGGCCTCGTTCTCCTCCAGTGCTGTACGTCGACAACAAGGCTGCCATTGCCTTGTGTGAGGAGCACAGACTGGAGCACAGAACGAAGCACATCGCTCTGCGGTACTTCCTTGCTCGAGAGCTGCAGCAGCGTGGTCAGCTTTGTCTGCGTTACGTGGCCACGGAGGCCAACACTGCTGATGTGTTCACCAAGGCGCTTCAGCCTTGTGACCATCAGCGCTTTTGCACTCTGTTAGGCCTTGTACCTACTGGGCCTCACTTGCTTACCTCTTGACCTTGCTTGTACTGTGATTTATATATATATCCCTACTTGTTTACTTTTGCTAGGTTGTGATCACTGTATCTCTTGCTTTGTTATAAACCTGCATGTGAACTGGTCTTGTGACCGCTTGCTTGTGCTCGGAATTTGTGTGGAATCCTTGAGATCCACCCTGAGCTTGCTTTGCTTTGCTTTGACTGGTCTTGTGACCCTGTGGTTGTCTCCCACTACGCCTATGGGGGTGTGTCAAACATTGCATGTTTATATTGTCTAGGCTGTAGTGGGTTACACCTTAGGGGGTACACAAAGTTAGGGTTTCCTACTTGTACCAAACTCTGTTCTAGTTCATTCATTCCTGCTCAGTTATTCTGACAGGCTGCTCTAAAGGCGCGTGCATAGAGCAGCGCGAACGCACAGGCCGCTGATTGAGGGTCGGGCTCGTCGGCAAAGGAGGAAGCTGGTGGGGAGGCTCCGAAGCCTGGGAAGGCACAAGCCAGCACTCCAGTGCGGGCATTTTTCGACCTTGTCGTTAAACCCTGGCGGGACTCGGAGTCGGTCGCAAAGGCATGGGAGCACTGGGTGAAGGTGACCTTTTTGATGGAAGGGAAGACTCTCCGCCAGCTGTCGTCAGAAAAAAGTTTCTACCCCACTTTCTCGTACATTGAGAAGGGTGTGAAGGACGATGCTGGCGACAAAAAAATGAAGCGCATGAGGAACGTGATGCTCGCGGTCAAGAAATACAGGGCTAACGAAACGGAGGAGGCCACCCGAGATGCCATTGCGAAGATCGAGAAGGACGTGGTGGGTCGGAGTTCGATTAGCGCACTGGCGGATGGGGTGATTCTCGGAAACGAGCCACCTCCGAAGAGGGATAATCCCGGCAAGGATAAGACGACGGAGAACAAGCGCCGCAAGGTCGGGTACCTCCTCTTCGCCGCCCAGATGGTGGGTGACGGGTGGGGAGAGAAGATGTTTGGGAAAGATGTTTGGAAGAAGATCAAGATCGAGGAGCCGTTGAAGCTGGCTAAACTGAAGAAGTAGTTTACGCTACCGAGACTTCCTTCCGTGATCGCTTCCCTCATCTTGGACCTCATTTCTGCTCTGCTCTTGACTTTGACCCCTCTTTTTCTTATTTTTAGTTTCCTCTGATCTAAAACCTCTTTTAGAGTTACATCATTGTTGGATCGTATGTAGTTTCACTACAAAATTTACACCCACCGTACATCGTAACCTTCGCCTATCGTACCAAGAGGATTGTGCTCGAAAACAGGTGTCGTTAACAGTGCTGCGACGGCATAGAAAAAATACGCGAACAAAACTCGAATGAGCAGGCTCCCTTTGGAGTACATGGTTACCTGCCACAATAGTCAACGGAACGTAGGAATCTCTCGAAAATCAGGGTTAGCAACAAACTATGATGGCATGCAAAAAGAAATCACTGCGCCGCCAGAGGGAACTTTGATGCCCTCCCTCTCTTCTGTTCTAGATTCTAAATCCTCCTTTAGAGTAACACTAGTCATTGGAACGTCAATGTTAAGCATGGGAATGTCTCGAAAACATGGGAATGTGTCGAATATCAAAGCATGCCACAGACTAATCCGAAGCAAGAGGGTTGCACTCTCGTCACGCGTTAAGTTCACGATCGAAATCCTAAGTACGCTAGTTACTTGAAAACAAAGCCTCAAAAGCAATTAAGGAAACACCGTGGTTCAGAGATCTAACCCTACAGCATTCAAGTCCTTATTCACGCCATGCTTTCGAGTCAAACAATGCATGTAACAGATTTAAGTTCAAATCAATGAAAACTCAAAAACTACAACATTCAGCAGACTATAGTACAGAGCTGCTGCAAACTCGAAATTACCCTCCCCATCCTGCATCACTCGTTGCCTCCCGCATTCCCCTTCCGCCGTCCCCCTTTTGTGGGCTGGGGAAAATGGAGCATCCCACCCTGATACGCGTAAAGACTCTGGTTTGCGTGACAGCACTCGCACCAGTACACCAGCACCCTCGAAACCACCTTGGCCATTTCAATAGCCTCTGCCTCCCCGGGCTCGGGATCCACAAGGCCGAGAATGGCCTTGGTGAGCACCACTTCCCAATCCGCCTTCTCGTGCGTTAGGTTCTTCACGGCCTTCAAGGTCCACACTCCGAGGCGAGCAGTAGAGGTTGCTCGACTAGCAAGGCTTGCCTCGTTGAGCGTGCCACGAGCCGCCTCATCCGCACCCTCCGCCCAGTCCTGGTGGGGAATGCCGATCGAGGCACACCACAAGGTGTAGAGGGTTGCAGCTACTCCCGCTGCATAGACCGCGGGAGTGACATTCGCGGGGGGCGACACCAGCCCACTCCCTCCGTGTACCAGGGCCTGTCCAATCCCTGTGCAAACGGCCACCTGGAAATGTGCGCCGTCCTTCACCCGTGCATTTGTCTTGTTCATGACGTTTTCGAAGCTGCACAGGCGAGGTGGGTACACGGTTAGTAAGGCAAAACGGGAAAGTGTACTAGATCTAGCTAATCCGAATCGAGTACTTACTTCTCGAACTTGTCGAGGTTCAATTCGTTCATGACACTCCAGACACCCGTCGGGAGTTCACGAGCGAAATCGAGGTGGACCGCCCACAAGCCAAGCTCGGCAGGATCCAAGCCGTAATGGGCCATGTCGGTGTCGGGGAAGTAGGACATCCAACAGACGGCCACTGTGAAATCGCGTAGTTTCCGCTCCTTGTAGCTCCCCATGTTCCTCTTCACACCTCCGACGGTTTGCTCCGAGTTGTAGCGCACGTACACCACTTCCCCCTTTTTGTTCTTCTTCTCACGTGTGGTAAGACCACTCGATCTGAAATGCTTTGTTTCCCCCCACCGCTTCCCTAGCTCGTCTGGTAGCACATCCGCTCTTCGCGGTGCCACCTCTCCCGTCGCCTCCCCCAACGTTGGTTGAACGTTCTGATTTCCCGACACATTTTCACCGACACATTCCTCTGACGCAGCAGCCCCCAAAGACCCCTCATCCGCGTCGAAGTTCGTTCCGGTCTGGTCAATGCGAAGCCTCTTCAAAGGCGGTTGAGTCTCTAGACCTCCAGAGCCTGTCACATGTTCCGAATCCTCCACCACCCCCACGAGGTCAACTACTTGCAGCGGTTCATCGGGAACCAATGAAATCACTTGAAGAATCCCGGCCCACCCTTCTTCCGCCTCTCCTCCCTGCCGTTGCCCCGCTGCCCCTTCCTCATCCTCCCCCGCAATCTATCGCCTCTCGTTTTCCATTTTCTCTGTTTCCGCCTCAACTCCATTTGTTGCCTCTCCTCTTCCTCCTTTGCGGCTTCGTCTAACCGTGCAATACGCTCGATCTCCTCCAGGGCTTTCCGACGCTCTATTTCGAGGTCTCTTTTTCGCTTTGCTGCCTCCAACCGCTTTGTTTTCGCAATCTTAGCAATCTGCTGGCGCTTAGCTTCTAACTCCGCCTCCCTCTGTGCCCGCCTCCTTTCCATCGCCTTCGCCTCCTCCTTCTGCCGCTTCTCCTCCTTTTCGCGTTCCGCCTTCCTCGCCTCCTCCCTCTTCCGCTCCTCCTCCTCCTTCTGCCGCTTCTCCTCCTTTTCGCGTTCCGCCTTCCTCGCCTCCTCCCTCTTCCGCTCCTCCTCCTCCTTCTGCCGCTTCTCCTCCTTTTCGCGTTCCGCCTTCCTCGCCTCCTCCCTCTTCCGCTCCTCCTCCTCCTTCTGCCGCTTCTCCTCCTTTTCGCGTTCCGCCTTCCTCGCCTCCTCCCTCTTCCGCTCCTCCTCCTCCTTCTGCCGCTTCTCCTCCTTTTCGCGTTCCGCCTTTCTCGTCTCCTCCCTCTTCCGCTCCTCCTCCTCCTTCTGCCGCTTCTCCTCCTTTTCGCGTTCCGCCTTCCTCGCCTCCTCCCTCTTCCGCTCCTCCTCCTCCTTCTGCCGCTTCTCCTCCTTTTCGCGTTCCGCCTTCCTCGCCTCCTCCCTCTTCCGCTCCTCCTCCTGCCGCTTCTCCTCCATTTCTCGTTCCGCCTTCCTCGCCTCCTCCCTCTTCCGCTCCTCCTCCTCCTCCTTCTGCCGCTTCTCCTCCTTTTCGCGTTCCGCCTTCCTCGCCTCCTCCCTCTTCCGCTCCTCCTCCTCCTTCTGCCGCTTCTCCTCCTGCTCGCGTTCTGCCTTCGTCGCCTCCTCCCTCTTCCGCTCCTCCTCCTCCTTCTGCCGCTTCTCCTCCTTTTCGAGTTCTGCCTTCCGCGCCTCCTCCCTCTTCCGCGCCTCCTCATCCTTCTGCCGCTTCAACTCCTTTTCGCGTTCCGCTTTCCTCGCCTCCTCCCTCTTCCGCTCCTCCTCCTCCTTCTGCCGCTTCTCCTCCTTTTCGCGTTCCGCCTTCCTCGCCTCCTCCCTCTTCCGCTCCTCCTCCTCCTTCTGCCGCTTCTCCTCCTTTTCGCGTTCCGCCTTCCTCGCCTCCTCCCTCTTCCGCTCCTCCTCCTTCTGCCGCTTCTCCTCCTTTTCGCGTTCCGCCTTCCTCGCCTCCTCCCTCTTCCGCTCCTCCTCCTCCTTCTGCCGCTTCTCCTCCTTTTCGAGTTCTGCCTTCCGCGCCTCCTCGCTCTTCCGCGCCTCCTCATCCTTCTGCCGCTTCAACTCCTTTTCGCGTTCCGCTTTCCTCGCCTCCTCCCTTTTCCGCTCCTCCTCCTCCTGCCGCTTCTGCTCCTTTTCGCGTTCTGCCTTCCTCGCCTCCTCCCTCTTCCGCTCCTCCTCATCCTTCTGCCGCTTCAACTCCTTTTCGCGTTCCGCTTTCCTTGCCTCCTCCCTCTTCCGCTCCTCCTCATCCTTTCGCCTCTTCTGCTCCTTTTCGCGTTCTACCTTCCTTGCCTCCTCCCTCTTCCGCTCCTCCTCCTGCCGCTTCTGCTCCTTTTCGCGTTCTGCCTTCCTTGCCTCTGCAGCTGTACCCGCCGGTTGGTTTTCCGTCACTCTCCCCCTGCTGACAGTCCCAGGACGGTCCTCCACCCTCGTATTTCCCAACCCCTTCTCAGCCCGCCTCTTCTTTGCAGCCGTCACTTGCGCCGTCTGAAGTGCTTGCCGCTTCCGCGCTTCAGCCGTCCTCCTCTCTTCGCTCTCCTTCTCCCTCTCTTTCTGCACGTTCTTTGCTGCGTACGTCTCTCTCCAGTTTCTCCTCACTGGTTCAGACAAGTCAATATCTGCCACACCAGCGCCCGTCTCACCCGCCTCACCAGCGTCACCCTCCTCACCCTCGGACGTTGCGGCAAACCTTTCAATGACTCGTTGTGCTGAGGAGATTGGGATGTTTGGGGAATCTGCTTCGGGCTGCTTTCGCGAAGCCTTTGGTGTGGCCTCTCCCCTGGCGGTGGGTGGCTTTCGGACCTTGCTGGGTCCAGTCAGCCCTTTGAGCTTTGTTGACAGTCCTGCCAGAGCCTTCTGAATCTTGTTGAAAGTCAGATTGTTTTGGTCGTCCGCAGCCCTAAGATCCTCCCACACTGCGAGTACACTATTGTCAATAGCCGCTTGCAGGTGTTCCATGGAGGTGGATGTGAACGAGGCCTCTAGCGACGATTGCTCTATCACCTGCTCCACCACACTCTTCAGCTTCTCCCGTAAGTTCTCGAAAAACCCCTGTAACCTTTCCTCTAATGCTTCCACAGCCGCTGCTGCAGCTGCGCGACCCGCATCAGCTGCTGCCGCTCGTGCTTCGGCGACAGAAGCCGAAAGAGCAGTACGCAATTGGGTTAGCTCGTCGCGTTCCCGGACCACCCCGGCCTTGAGCTCGTGGTACTCGTGTGTTAGATCATCGTAGTCCTGGAAGTAGCGGCTGTCCAAGGCTTGCATCTGTGTACCAAATTCTCGAATCTCTGCCATGCAGTCGATGAAACGAACACGTTGCTCCGACGAAGCCCTCGCCACGGACCTTGCCACCAAGGTCAGACGCCGCATCAACTCTGCTGTGGTATGCATCCTGCCGCCAGCTGCGATGCGGTCGCCAGCCTCCTCAAATCCTCGCTCCGTCTCCTCGAAAACCTGCGGCCCCGCTTGCTCCAGTCCCGCCAGTAGCGCCTCCACAGCCACCCATTCACCATCCTCTAGTTCCTCTCCCTGCACCGCAGCAGGATTCTCTGCCGCTCGTGGATGCCGCCTCTGCATGGGGAGCGCACTAGCCGCACTCTCTAGTTCCTCGTCCGCACGTCCTTCCGCCTCTCTCTGCTGAAACTCCCTGTGTCGCACTCCTTCCATTCCCCATCCCACCCCACGCCAGACCTGATCCTCCGCCATTCGCTCACCCTGCCGCGTTCCAATTGCTTCACCCTCTCGCCTACCAGCTTGCCTTGACTGATCGAACCTCCTATGGTCTCCCGCGCCGACCCTGTTCCGGGCTGTTTGATCATCACGCCGGCCACCTTCCCGCTGCATCATCGGCCTCGGTCCGCCTGTTCTCAATCCCGGTAAACCAACATCCGCTGCCCGACCAACAGTTGTTCCGTGATGCCCCAGGGTTGGCTGGTCGCCAACCACCACTTGCCGAGCTCCATCCCCTACATCCCGCCCCAACTGCATTGGGAAGGACCTCGCGCCCCTTTGGCCCTCAGCCACACGCCGCTGCCCCCCAGCACCTTGCTCATTCAACCCAGCAACCTACCTCTGCCTTTCCTGCCTCTGTGTAGCGCCCCCATCCCACGGCGCTCGTTCTCTACAGGTCGATCCCTCGGACGCTCCACACCCTGATGCACACCCGCTTGCTCCGTCTGCCTCGCCACAAACCTTTCTCGCTCGAGCCTCTAAAGCTCTTTTCTTCTGCGTTCGCTTTCAGTTCTCTTTCGTTCCCGATCCTGCCTCTGCCGCGCTTCCTCCATTTCACGCGATTCTCGTTCCCCGGTCTCACCGACCTGCCTCTGTCGCTCTCGCTCCTCCACCCTCGCCTCCTCGCGCGTTTCTCGCTCGTTGGCCTCCACAATCTTCCCCGCCTTTTCGCGTTCCGCCTTCCTCGCCTCCTCCCTCTTCCGCTCCTCCTCATCCCTCTTCCGCTTCTCCTCCTTTTCGCGTTCCGCCTTCCTCGCCTCCTCCCTCTTCCGCTCCTCCTCATCCTTCTTCCGCTTCTGCTCCTTTTCGCGTTCTGCCTTCCTCGCCTCCTCCCTCTTCCGCTCCTCCTCCTCCTGCCTCTTCTGCTCCTTTTCGCGTTCCGCCTTCCTCGCCTCCTCCCTCTTCCGCTCCTCCTCATCCTCCTGCCGCTTCTGCTCCTTTTCGCATTCAGCCTTCCTCGCCTCCTCCGTCTTCCGCTCCTCCTCATCCTTCTGCCGCTTCTCCTCTTTTTCGTGTTCCGCCTTCCTAGCCTCCTCCCTCTTCTGCTCCTCCTCCTCCTCCTGCCTCTTCTGCTCCATTTCTCGTTCCGCCTTCCTCGCCTCCTCCCTCTTCCGCTCCTCCTCATCTTTCTACCGCTTCTCCTCCTTTTCGCGTTCCGCCTTCCTCGCCTCCTCCCTCTTCCGCTCCTCCTCCTCCTGCCTCTTCTGCTCCTTTTCGCGTTCCGCCTTCCTCGCCTCCTCCCTCTTCCGCTCCTCCTCATCCTCCTGCCGCTTCTCCTCCTTTTCGCGTTCTGCCCTCCTCGCCTCCTCCCTCTTCCGCTCCTCCTCATCCTTCTGCCGCTACTCCTCCTTTTCGCGTTCTACCTGTCTCGCCTCCTCCCTCTTCCGCTCCTCCTCATCCTTCTTCCGCTTCTGCTCCTTTTCGCGTTCTGCCTTCCTCGCCTCCTCCCTCTTCCGCTCCTCCTCCTCCTGCCTCTTCTGCTCCTTTTCGCGTTCCGCCTTCCTCGCCTCCTCCCTCTTCCGCTCCTCCTCATCCTCCTGCCGCTTCTGCTCCTTTTCGCGTTCTGCCTTCCTCGCCTCCTCCCTCTTCCGCTCCTCCTCATCCTTCTGCCGCTGCTCCTCCTTTTCGCGTTCTACCTGTCTCGCCTCCTCCCTCTTCCGCTCCTCCTCCTCCTTCTGCCGCTTATCTTCCTTTTTGCGTTCTGCCTTTCTTGCCTCCTCCCTCTTCCGTTCCTCCTCCTCCTGTCGCTTCTGCTCCTTTTCACGTTCCGCCTTCCTAGCCTCCTCTCTCTTCCGCTCCTCCTCCTCCTGCCGCTTCTGCTCCTTGTCGCGTTCCGCCTTCCTCGCCTCCTCCCTCTTCCGCTCCTCCTCCTCCTTCTGCCGGTTATGTTCCTTTTCGCGTTCGGCCTTCCGCGCCTCCTCCCTCTTCACCTCCTCCTCCTCCTCCTGCCGCTTCTGCTCTTTTTCGCGTTTTGCCTTCCTCGCCTCCTCCCTCTTCCGCTCCTCCTCATCCTTCTACCGCTTCGACTCCTTTTCGCGCTCAGCCTTTTTCTCCTCCTCCCTCTTCCGCTCTTCCTCCTCCCTCTGCCGCCTCTCCTCCTGTTCGCGCTCAGCCTGCCTTTCCTCCTTTTTGCGCTCTTCCTCCTCCCTCTGCCGCTTCTCCTCTTGTTCGCGCTCTGCCTGCCTTTCCTCCTCCCTCTTCCGCTCTTCATCCTTCTGCCGCTTCTCCTCCTTTTCGCGCTCAGCCTGCCTTTCCTCCTCCCTCTTCCGCTCTTCCTCCTCCCTCTGCCGCTTCTCTTCCTTTTCGCGCCACACCTTCCTCACCTCCTCCCTCTTCCGCTCTTCCTCCCTCTTGCGTTCGCGTTCCTCACTCTCCCTGTCCCCCTCCATCGCACTCACCTCTCGCTCCTGGTCCTCGAGCCTCACACGCTTCTGTTCCACCCTCCGCTTCGCCTCTTCCTCCTCGCGTGCTTCCCGCTCCTGATCATACTTCTTCTTTGTTCTTGTCTCCCGCCTCTGATACACCACCCTATTATCGCATTCCGCTCTCAGGACCTCATCCTCCGATTCGCCTACGACATTCGGACTGCCCTGCCTCATGTCCATACCCTGCCCCTGCTCCTCCTGTTCATCATTCTCGACCGAGAGGTGCACTGCCTCTAAACCAATTGCTAACTCCTCCACCCTCTCCCCCTCCCCCCTCTGTTGTTGGGTCTCCGACCCGCAACGCTCGGTCTTATCCTCTGGTGCCCTCTGCTGCGCCTCCCTCATTCCACGCAAGATCTCGCGCGCACTCCTCTGAAAAGGTGGTTCCTCTCTGTCCATCATCTGACCCTCCCCATCCGTTACGCTCTGACGCTCGTTGGCCAGACCCATTCGTGCGCCGTCAGCAACCATTGCCCCCAACGCGACTATTTCGGCGTCAATAACGGGCGGGGCACCCGTGTCCTCAGCAGCGTCCCCAACGGGTTCCAGGTCCACCTCTCCCGCATCCTCCTCATCACCTGCCGCCAGCTTGTCGAAATACTTTTTGCAGCTGGTCACTATGTCCTTGAATATATCCTCTCGCCGGTAGGGTGGTTTTCCAAGAACCCTAAATTTATCATCTCGATCATGCTGTAAGAGAATCGAGTCAAAATGATCGAGCACCTTACGCCACTGGTACGCTACATGAGAACCGCTCCCGACCTCCCTAGAGCTGACCATTGGAGTTAGCTTCTGCATGAAAATGAAAGGGAGCTGGTCAGGGCTTGTCCTGCTTAGAGGTCCGAGCTGAATTCCGAGTTTGCATTGCAAACTTACTCCCGCTATGTCGAGCCTCCACCCGCTCATAATCCGTCTCCTAATGTCGCGGAAAGTTTCCTGCTCCTCCGAGTTTGGAGTGAGTGCTTCTCCTCTAGAATATTCCGTCAAGAGCTGCACCTCCAGCCATCTGCTCGGCATGTGAATTTCCGACAAAATTAGGCTATGCTTTGCCGTACCGTCATTTGCACATGTGACGAGCGACAATAGTTAAACCTTACTTGACCATTTGAAGGGCGAGGTCGGTGTGCTTGTGTGCTGGAGAATTCGACTTGGGGTCGAAATGCAGAAGACGTGTCGCAACCGGAATATTCGGGTGGTCGGCCAAACTGTCGGGCCGAACAAGCATGAAAAGGCTACAGCGCGCTCCAGGCTCGGCAGTCATGCTGCATGGGGCGGTGGGGGGAAAGGTTAGCAAGCGCGTAAAAGCTCGGAAAATCGAACAGCCGTTGTATTTTCAGAGAAATAAAGATTGATACCGGAACCTCTACAATTCGAACTCACCTTGACCACAGCGGAAAGACTACGAGTTGCTTGCCAAGCACACCATCGAGTCTGCCAGGACCCATGGGTTCGTACGGTTGTTTCGCCCGGGCCGCGTTGACTGCACTCATGGGGATGATTTCGACTTTCAACAGCTGGTCCGCGGTCAGCCTCTCCTTTGCAATCTTCCTGCAAGAGACAACACAAGGAGCTTTCAGAGATCAGACCAGCGCTACACAACACATCCGTCTTCGTGGAAATATCTCTCGAAATAGAGATCGCTTACTTTGGGCAGTAGAATAGAGGAGACTAGTACTCGGAAGATGGTTTAAACGTTAGAGCGGCGAGAGCGTTATTTGCTAGATCGCTACTAGTACTCTACACGTGACAGAGAACGTAAATCTCGAAACGTCACACATCTATCCGAGAAACAAAACTACAAGGGCATCTTACACCATAGCAAAGTTGAGCATGTTCTCGGTCCATTCCCCACGCTTGAATCGCATGTTCTCGAACTCTAAACGAGAGAGGCGCACACGCAAGCCAGCAGCCTCTACTTCCATCGAAGGCTCCATTGACGAAGTGGTGGAAGCTGGGAGGCTGGGATCTAAGGAAGAAGTTGGACAAAAACTGAAGGAGAAGATGTAAAATGAGAAAATGACCTCCGTTGGGCATTTATACCCGCCCAACACCATCCTGAGCCTGGACTTTGAGGTCGTGTTCAAACATTCGACCCTGTATGGTTGTGGCGACAAAAAAGGTTGCATTTATCAATGGCAGTGCCACCCCAGGCCGTGAAACCCATACTGACCCGCAATCTAAAGCCCTCGTATCGGGACAATCTCAATCTTGTGCTGCACTCTGAAAATCTGACAACGACAAAATCCGACCAATAACCTTCTCCCCCATGCCAATTTCGAGAGTTATCCTGAGCCGCCACGTGGAGGTCAGTGATTTCGAATTCGAGTCCATGCAAGGACGGTCGATTTCGAAATTTGCCCAAATTCAGTCGCCCGATCGCTATTATTCAACTCGAAATTGGGCTACTAATTTCGCTGCATCGGGCTCGTCGAAAATGTACCTCGTATGCGCCGAACAAGCAGTTCCATTTCGGGGAAGTCACGCGAATCTTACCTCCACTCTCGAAAATGACCACCCCATTCAATGTGCTACTACAAACTACACCTAGCACAATAATGTGTTAACTTTAAACAACCAAGATTGCAAGCAGGCCTAACTAAACACATACCATTTCCCCAAACCCCACACCACAAAGCACAATGCAAGGAGGCAATCCAGGTGTAAGGCACACGATTCCAAAACACAAAACATTGAAAACCACAATCAAATATATATGCTACCTTCCACAAACCGACCGTACTTGTAATCGATGTAAAAATCATCTAATTGACCAAAACCCAAAGGTTCAAACCCATGGAAGCACTAGGACACCATGTTAACGTTTGTTGGGGGTGGAAAACATCTAAGTCATCGTAAAGAAACACAGCAAATAGACGTTGAAAACACCCTAGCAAATCATCATACGTTTTCCCCATTTTCTCACACATCATCGTTGGTTTGACATGGCATGTGTGATGGGCAGGGCATTCAAAGCCTAACATTGCATTGAATGCCTTGAAATAACAAATAAGAAAAAACAATGTTGACTTGATGATTGCCAAAGAATGACCTAGCATGTCTTACTGACATACTTGAGTTGGCTAATATGAACCAAAAAGTGCAACATTTGCAAACTAAAAAAAAAAAAAAAAAAAAACAAGTAGAGCAGTACTAGAGGAGACAGAATCCCCAAAAAAAACCCATTTAAAACCAACAAAAAGTCCATAAAACCCCATTAAAATGACCATTTTGAGCTCCACAATTCAGGCATTTGTATGGCCATCCATGCAAAAAAAACACTGAAACGGCATTGAATAGATACCTGAAGACATGCTTTGTCCATTTCAAACATAAAAAACCCCCCTTAAAACCACCCCATCATTCACACAATTCACTAATACAACATTGCATTGGAAAGAAAACCATGGAAACAATTATACAGACTGACAGAATTTCAACAATCAACTACACTACACTATATCGCGCGGCTGTCGTCAGCCGCTTGCGATCTAACGCTTGGTCGTCTTTTTTCACGCCCGGCGATGCAGTAACCGTCTCCCCCGTCAACTGTTCACGCTGGAAAAATGGCTGACGAACTGGTTACCCTTCGCCAATTATCTATCTGGAAATAGATAAAACGGCCAAACACCGGGTCCAGCTGGGTCGTAGTTTTTCATTTCGCCTCGGGCATTTTGGGGGGGTTGGGTCGAGGTAGGTCGAGCGCCCGAGCCGCGCCCTTCCCCGTGGCCATCCACATCTATTTCGGGAGAGGGCAGGACATAGGGCAGGGAGCTCGGCCAGTAATGTCGTCGAAAGTCAGCAAAAAGCCCTCAACCAACCACCATCAGGGCCTATTCCTTCCTCGTGTCAGACACGAAGTAGAGGTCTGAAATGGAGGTTCGGAAGACCCGAAGTGGCCCACTTCGGGTCTTCCGAACATTGATTTGCCAGAGTTCCAGGTCACTTCGGGTCTTCTTCAACTTCACTTCGTGTCTGACCTCAAGTCAGACACGAGCCAAGAATGCACCCTCACAAAACAACAAAACGCTACGCGGCGAAGTCAGTGGCAGCGTCCTCGTCCGATTCACACGTCAAGAAATTTACCGTGACAAGTCATCAACAGCTTCGGCAGCGAATGTACAGTAAATAAAATAGTCCAGATAGGTCGTGGTTTGGCTGAGTGGTTGCATTTTTTTCGATGACTGGCATTATCAAGGTGCACCAACGAAATGCTCCTTGCCTTGTGAACTGCGCGTCCCTTTCCTACTCACCTTGGGCTTGTCTTTCCCTCGTAATTTCCGAAATGCTTTCCAGCGCGGAATGCACCGAATGAAAACGTACTGAACCGTACCGCACTGGACGATAAGCAGTAAAAGGGTGCAAAATTTCCTTCGGACTTGTCACTGTCGCATCTCAAGCTCGCAATGATCTTGTGCTGGCTTGCCTTGCTTGTTTCTCCCCGTTTCCCTTGCTCCTCCCCGTTTCTCTTGTTTCTCTACCACCGCGTCCATCTCACAACTCTCAGCCGTGCCCATCACACACCACCACACCACCACACCACCACCACCGCCCCTATTCTTTTCCATGCCATCCGGTCCGACTCTGTGGGTATCACATTTCGGATTGTCCGACTCTGTGGGTATTTGATTGGTAAATACAGACTGTCGGCAGCGTCACATGCTCTACTGAATCCAAAAAGGCGTTTGATGGCGACATGGTGGTTGAATGTGATGACCTAGATAGTTTGGTTTTGTCTGTTTTTGTTTCAAGTTTCAGGCTTCCCATTTCTTGCCTTGCCGAATGTCACGCCTCAGATTTAGTGACTAGGCGATTATAAACTTTTAAATTGTCATAGCATTATAACAACATACTTCGTCGCATCATGGGAGGAAGGAGTTTGCGAGTTAGGGTTGCTTTCCTATTTCATGGAGTTTCTTCGACGGGTATGCCGCCGATAGTTTTTTGCGAACCGTCGTTGTTACCTTCACGATAACGACCCGAGCCTGGTTCTCTGTTTCGCTTGGTAGTGCCCAAGCTCACGCCAGTCGGTTATAGAACGCCAGTTTTCATCCGCGCCTCGTTCTACGACAAAGTAGCAGCTAACCGCGATTTGGCCTTAGGCCCTCGTGCCGATCCGCGTCTTTATCAGCCGGCTGAACCGAAAATAGATATTCTTCATTCCGCGATCGAGGGTTAACGTACAGTCGGGACATTAATAGCTGCTACGGCTCGCGTATTTATTTTTTCTCGCTGCGGCTGTATCCCTTCGTTTTTATCACAACGTTCTTAAGTCAGCATGGACTGGTATGTCCAGCCACAGGACGCCGGCGCGCGTCTCGATGCCTCTCGCTCCATGCCGCCACGTCAGCACGTAGTCACAACGACGCCTGACGCCGCTGCCGTACCATTAAACCGCTCCCCACGTTCGTCCACCCTTCCAAACCACCTTCCAAATCACCCGGCGTACCATTATCCGAACCACCCGCCGAACCAGCGGCACCGCCTACTACCCGAGCCTGGTACCGACGCTCGGCCCTTCAGCGACCAGCACATTCCCCTTTCAGGCGATGGCCCTCCTAAGCGCGACCGCGCCAACCGCGCCCTCCGCAAGGGCATCTCCGCGTCGTCCGCGGACTTAGATCCGCCGGGATACCGGCAGGATCGAGATGACTCTAGGCAGCGTGACAATAACGGTGGTGAGTACAACGAGCTCACGGAATATCTCTTTGGAGAGGGGGGGCTTGGAGCCGGCGCGTGGGGTTCCGGCGGCGATGCGTACGAGCGCGGAACTGGCGGCGGGATTGGCGGAGTTGCGGGTGGCGGCGCTGGTGGCAGTGGGAGATACGACGACGCAATAAGAGGCGATCCGGGACGAGGGGCCTCTAATGCTCGGCATGCTCTGCCCAAATCTCCGTCTGCGCGTCGTGCCGGCGACAATAGCCGGCCAGCCGTCAACCGCCGGCAGGGGTGGCGGCGGGGTAGTGACGGGCTGTCAGGTTGGGCGGAGAATCCCGAGGTTGTGCCCGAGCCTATGCCCATGGTTCGGCGCCATACCACGGGCATGGGCGGGATGGCAGTTTCGCACGGGGAGAGGGGGAAGGGCGGGGAGGGTATTGGGGAAGACGGGCAGTGGCGGAGCGGGAATCAGGGGGAGAGGGGGGAGCGGGCGCACGGAGTGCTGCTGCAGCGGCGATCGAAAACGGGCCCTGATTATCACAGAAGTCACACGTTGGTTAGCGCGGGGAATACGGCGGGGAACGCTGCAGCAGGGGCTTCCTGGGGAGGCGCCGCGGGACACGGCGAGAGCTTCGGCGGCTTCGGCGGGGGGTTCAGAAGCGCGGGCGGCGCACCGAAGTCGTCCTCGGGCGGATCGGTGCAAAGCGGTGCTAGTGAGGGGCAGACGGCGGTGGGGGGGGAGCAGCAGAGAGCCGCAGGAGGTAGCGGGGGACTGGCGGGCGCGGGAGGCGGGAACAGCGGGGGGAGGGATGGGGGCGCAGGCGGAGTCGCGGGGATAGGCGGACCCCGCGGGGTGCGCGCGGGGAGCATCGGCATCATGTCTCCGCGCCTGCTCAGATTCCTAGTGGACGAAGAGAGCCCCGCAGGCCCGAACCCTAGCGGGGGATTTGACGACGGGCGGAGGCGCGGGGGAGACGCGCGGAAGGCAAAAGGGCGCGGGAGGGACGCGGGGATGGGGAAAGGGGAGGCTGGCGGAGCAGGGGGGCGGGGAAGCAGGGAGCGGGAGAGGGAGGGAGCGGGGCATGTTGGGAGAAGGAATGAGAGTCCCAGGTATCAGGGGGTAGGAGGTGGGGTGACCGCCAGAGCAGCTGCGGCGGCGGCCGCGATGGGGGGAAGCAGCGGCGAGGGGGGGCGGAGATCCCCCAGAGCGGACGCGGGCCTGTACTTCCCCAAATCGCGCAGCGTCGCTGTGCCAAAATCCCCCCTCTCCGCTGCGCCGCGCGTTGTTCCTCCCCCTCTCACGCCCCAGCCCGCACTTCCCCCGGTTTCTCCCGCGGGCCACCGCTTCCCCAAGTCCGCCTCCTCCTCCGCGCGCGCCTTAGCGCGTCCCGCCAATGCCTCCCCCACCGCTGCCGCCCCAGCCTTATCGCCTCACTCTAGCGCCAGTACTGATCTTTATTCCGAATCCGGCTCTTATGTAAGCGCAGGAGTGTACTCCCAGGCGTTTCAGGGTCCGGAGAAACAAAGTGCAAGCCTCGTTTATGACCCGCGTACAGCCTCCGCTCCGCGTACAGGCTCATCTCCCCGTACGGGATCATCTCCCCGTACGGTTTCATCTCCCCGTGAGGGATTATCTCCCCGTACTGAAACGTCTCCGCGTACGGGATCATCCCTCCGTACTGGCTCATCTCCCCGCGATGCATCATCTCCCTCACACTCTCCCTCCTCCTACCCTCCCAAAAGCTCCTATCCTCCTAGTAACTCGTTCTCCCTCCGCCCTTCCTCTGGCGATTCCGCCGGTTCCGCGTCAGGGGGATCGGGGAAGGCGGGAGGGGCGGGAGGGGCGGAAGTGGGGGGGGAAGTGGCTGCCCCCCCCGCCTACCCCACCTCCTCGTCTTTCTCTTTTGACTCTAACCAGGCAGCGTTACAGTCACCCACGTCCTTGCATTATGCCCCCGTTAGTGCGCATGGGCATGGGCTTGGCAGTGATGGTTATGCCGGTGGGGATGGGGGCGTATCGACAGGTGTGTCTGAAGACAAGGGTCGAAGCCTGCAGCAGCACCTGCACGTCCAAAACAAGTACCCACAGCAGAACCAGCACCACCACCACCAGCAGCAGCAGCTGCTGCATCAGAAACAGCAGCCGGAGCAGCAGCAACTGCAGCAGCAGCTGCAGCAGCAGCAGCAGCAACAGCAGCAGCAGCAGCAACAGCAGCAGCAGCCTGTGCTGGTAAGACTGCAGGAGCAAAGAACATCGCCCTCCGTCTCCCCTCCCTTCCTCTCCGCCCCTACCCTGACCGTCCGCAGCAACAGCGGAAAGTTTCGCCGCCCCGCTGCCCTGGATCTCGGGCAGCTCTCGCCGACCAATCAGCTCTCGCCAACCAATCAGCAGGAGCCAGAGGACGCGGAGGAAGAAGACGGGCAGGAAGATATGGTAAGAATGGGAGATGAGGAAGAGGAGGAGGAGGAGGAGGAAGAGGAGGAGGTGGTTGCACGCGACAAGTATCTGCTGCAGGGGAGGGAACAGGTGGGGAAGGTTGAAGGGGCAGGTGGGCAGGGGTGGGAGGAAGAGGTTTATTACTTAGACGAGCCAGATGACGGGTCGGAATACCAGAAACAGCAATACCACCACCAGCAGCAGCAGCAGCAGCAGGCTCCTCCCTGCACCAAGCCTAAGCCCCGAGCCTTGGTGACTGGTTCGGCACATTGGTCCGGCGAAAACGGCAGAACCACGCTTCTAGACTCCATAGAGCCTCTGGCTGGGGACCCTGATGACGAGGAGGGGGAGGGGGAGGGGTACGGGGAGTACGATTGGGGGGAGGATGGAGAGGAGGAGAAGGAGAGAGAGGAGGCCCGCAGGAGAGGGCACAGACGGACGGGGAGTCTGGGAGGGGGAGGGCGGGGTGGGGGAGAGGGAGAAGGGAGTGACGGGAGGAGGTCCCAGCGACGGCAGGCGTTTATTCAGAAGCTTAAGGGCCTTGCCTCGCCGCGCTTCAGGGAGGATAAGGCGAAGGCGAGAGGGTGGCAAGGGGGGGATGGGGAGGCGGAGGGGAAGCAGGAGGAGGGGGAGAAGAGGGCAGGGGGGAAGGGTGAGGGGAAGACGGGGAAGGGAGTGGGGAGGAAAGCAATTGCCCCGGGTGCTGGGGGAGGTGGAGGGGGAGGGGGGGGGGGGGGGGCGGGAGGGGGAGGGGGAGTGGGCGGGGGAGGGGGAGTGGGCGGGTGGGGGCGCAGTATTACAGGGGAGAGGACGCGGAGGGAGGCAGACGCTGTGGTCTCGGTGACAGGGAAGGGCGGAGGCAAGGAGAAAGAGAAGGAGAAAGAGGGGGAGAGGGAGAAGGGCAGGCGGATGGTAGAGGCTCTCCTAGACATGCCCACGCGGAGGGTGGAGTCACCAGCTAGAGGGAAGGCCAGGAAGGAGGTAGTAGCGCGACCAGGGACAGGAGGAGCAGCAGGAGGAGGAGCAGCGGGGGGCGACTCTATGCGCAGAAGCACAGAGGGTTTGTTCAGAGAAACAAAGGGTTTGTCGCTGTGGGAGAAACGCAAGGTAGGCGGGGGAGCAGGAGGGAAAGGAAGCGAGGGAGGTGGAGGTGGAGGGGGAGAGGTCAAAACGCCTAGCTTCCTCCGCTCCTTCACCCAGCCTCGCTCCTCCAGCAGCAGAGGCTCCAAAACACCTAAGGGCGGCACCAGTACAAGCAACACTGCTAGCACCAACACCGGTGGCAGTGGCAGTGGTGGGGGGGCTAGCAGCAGCGGCGGCATCGGCATCAGCCTGGCGTCACGGTCGTTTAAAATGGACCACAGATCTGATCACAGCACGAGTGCGGGCGGCAGCAAAACGCCAAAGGAGGCCAGCCAGCACCACCAGCACAGGTCGAAGCGGTCTGGGTCGGGCACGTGGGGAGGGGGGCTGGTGGCTGCAGTGGAGGGGTTTAGCCGCAGCCTCACTGCTCCTAAAGGCTCCTTTGGCTCCTTGGTTGCTGCTAACGCCTCTGCTTCTGCTGGTAACGCTGTTGCTGCTGCTGCTGCTAGCACTGGTGGTAGCGGCGGTAACAGTGCTGCAGCTGCTTCTGCTGCTGGTGGTAGTGCTGCTGCTGCTGCTGCTGCTGGTGCTGGTACTGGTGGTGGTGGTGAGGTGGGGGGAATGAAGAAGGTCAAAGGTCTGACGCTGTCAACGTCTCCTCGTCACCTCAGCAGCAGCGGCAACACCACTGCTGCTCAGTCCTCCTCCCCTTCCTCTACTTTCACTGATACCTCGCAGAAACATTCTCCTGCTTCTGCCACCACTCCCACTGGCACATCTGCTGCTGGTTCCGCTGCTGCTGCCGTCTCTGCTGTTTCTGCAGCTGCTGGCAGTGTTTCGTCTGGTTCTGCTCCCGCCGTGTCAGGTTCGGGCCGAACCAGCTCGTCCACACCAAAGAACGCAGCAGGTTCGGGCAAAGCCTCTTCGCCTGGCTCTGCAAGTGCCACCGGCAGTCCCTCTCCTAAATCCCCTGCTGGCGCCACTGCTGCTAATGCCCCTGCTGCTGTTGCTGCTGGCGGCGCTGGTGCTGGTGCTTCTAGTACAGCTAGAGGGCATGCAGAGGCCAGGAGCAAGAGTCCTCGCACCAGCAGGACCAAAAGCCCTGGGAAGAGAGACGAGCAGGGTCCTCCTGGGAAGGCTAGTTCCGTGCAGACCGAGAAGAAAAGCTCTCCGCCAACCACCAGCCCGAGAACCCTGAGCCCCAGGACCCCTCGCGACGACGGGCAGCAGCAGCAGCAGCAGCAGCAGCAGCAGCAGCAGCTGGGCACGGGCAGCACGGGCAGCACGGGCAGCACGGAAGGAATTTTCGAGCGCGGGTTCACAGACATCCGAAAGAGATTCGAGGTCGGGCAGCAGATCGGGCAGGGGCGGCGGGGAGTGGTGGTGTACATGTGTGTGGAGCGGCGCACGGGGCGCGCGTATGCGTGCAAGGCGATAGACAAGGCGACTCTGGTGGAGCCGAGGAAGGTGGCGGCTGTGCGCGCTGAGGTGGACGTCATGAGGAAGCTGCTGGGATGGCCCCATGTGGTGGGGATCAAAGACGCGCTGGAAGACGAAAAGGTGAGCCGCTAGGGCTGTAGGTGTGGGTGAAGAAAATATCGAAAAAGCAACAAAAAACAAGAATCTCTCAGAGATAATAGTAAAGAAACAAAAACTCTCAGAGGTTTTAGTATAAAAACAAGAACCTCTCAGAAATAATAGTATCTGATGGATCGGCAAAATCCAACACACTTTTAGAGGTCATTGTCATCATAATGAATCTGCTTGAGCTGGGACCTTCACCTGCGCCTTCACCTTCTCCCTTCCCATTCACACCCCCCACCTCTCCCTTCCGCCCACCCCTCCCTTCCCCCTCTCCCTCTATCCCTTCCCATTACTCTATTTCCTTTTTCATCTCCCCCCTCCCTTGCCACCTCGTTGCCCCTCACGGGAACACTAGAACCCCCAAACCCACAACCAGCACGCTCCCTTCCCCCCATCCCCTCTGTCTCGTCCCCTTTTTCCTCCCCTCCCCTCTTCTCCCCTCAGTGCGTGTATATCATCATGGAGCTGTGCTCAGGAGGCGACCTCCTCCACCACATCAACTCCTCGCCATTTATCACCACCAGCCACCCCTCCCCACCCCTCCCCACCCACCCCCCTCCCCCCAGTGCGTGTACATTATCATGGAACTGTGCTCGGGAGGCGACCTCCTGGACCACATCAACTCCTCTCCATTCATCTCGGAGCGAGAGGCCGCCACCATCCTGCGCGTGCTGGCAGAGACATCAGACACCCCCCACCCCTCCCTTTCCCCCCTCCCCTCCCCCCCGCCCCTCCAAACAGTGTGTGTACATTATCATGGAACTCTGCTCGGGGGGGGACCTCCTGGACCACATCAACTCGTCGCCGTTCATCTCGGAGCGAGAGGCAGCCATCATCCTGCGCGTGCTGGCAGAGACGCTGCGCTCGTGCCACAACCACGGCATCATGCACCGCGACTTAAAGCCCGAGAACATCCTGCTCGCGCAGCCCGGGTGCTGGTGGGACCTGCGATTAGCCGACTTTGGATTCTCCGTTCACCTTAAGGCCGGTGAGTAACCCTCACACTCACAACCGCACAGCCACAGCTACACAAACACCAGCACAACCACATCATCATACACGACCACCTTGACGGCGTCTACGGGTATTCATGCCTCATTGCCTCACTCTCTCACTCGCCTCACCCCACCACACACATACACCAGTCCCATGTCCTCCTTCCAGGCTAGCGCATGACCGACTATGCCGGATCCCCCTTCTACAAGGCCCCGGAGGTCCTAGACAGCGTGTACGGGCACTCATGCCTCATCACCTTGCCTCTTGCCCCGTCTATCGACAGGAGAGCGCATGACAGGCTATGCTGGTTCGCCATTCTACATGGCCCCGGAGGTCCTGGACAGCATATACGGGCACGAGGCAGACGTGTGGAGCCTGGGGGTCATCCTCTACACCATGCTCTCCCAGAAGCTGCCCTTCTGGGACGACACGGACGCGGGTGTGTACCGGCAGATCAAGCGCGCTGAGGTGGACATGGAGAGCGGCGTGTGGCCCGCGATCTCGGATGAGGCTAAGGACCTGGTGCTCGGGATGCTGTCTGCGGACCCGCACCAGCGAATCACTCTCGACAGATTGCTCGGTACGTGCTGTGTGTGGTTGTAGGGGTTTCTGTTTGGTTCAGACTCAGACAGCTGAGGCTTGAGGGGTGCGGGACGACACGGACGCGGGCGTGTACCGGCAGATCAAGCGCGCTGAGGTGGACATGGAGAGCGGCGTGTGGCCCGCTATCTCAGATGAGGACCTGGTGCTCGGGATGCTTTTGGCTGATCCGCACCAGCGAATCACCCTCGATAGACTGCTTGGTACGTCGCATGCCCTGCTGTGCTGTGCGGCTGTAGGGGTTTCAATTTGGGTCCGATGAGGCCAAGGACCTCGTGCTCGGGATGCTTTGAGCGGACCCGCACCAGCGAATCACCCTCGACAGATTGCTTGGTATGTGTAATGGGTTGTCGTACGGGTTGTCCTTGCGCCGTGCGTTGCACGAGTGAAGGGTTTGCATGCTCGAGATGCCGTCGGCCGACCCGCACCAGCGAATCACCCTCGACAGATTGCTTGGTATGTGTAATGGGTTGTCGTACGGGTTGTCCTTGCGCCGTGCGTTGCACGAGTGAAGGGTTTGCATGCTCGAGATGCCGTCGGCCGACCCGCACCAGCGAATCACCCTCGACAGATTGCTTGGTATGTGTAATGGGTTGTCGTACGGGTTGTCCTTGCGCCGTGCGTTGCACGAGTGAAGGGTTTGCATGCTCGAGATGCCGTCGGCCGACCCGCACCAGCGAATCACCCTCGACAGATTGCTCGGTATGTGTAATGGGTTGTCGTACGGGTTGTCCTTGCGCCGTGCGTTGCACGAGTGAAGGGTTTGCATGCTCGAGATGCCGTCGGCCGACCCGCACCAGCGAATCACCCTCGACAGATTGCTCGGTATGTGTAATGGGTTGTCGTACGGGTTGTCCTTGCGCCGTGCGTTGCACGAGTGAAGGGTTTGCATGCTCGAGATGCCGTCGGCCGACCCGCACCAGCGAATCACCCTCGACAGATTGCTTGGTATGTGTAATGGGTTGTCGTACGGGTTGTCCTTGCGCCGTGCGTTGCACGAGTGAAGGGTTTGCATGCTCGTGATGCCGTCGGCCGACCCGCACCAGCAAACCACCCCCGATAGATTGCTGGGTATGTACTGTGTGAGGTTGTGGGGATTGTTGATTCGACTTGAAACTCTTCTGACGAGGCTCAACGATTTGGTGACTGGGATGCTGTTGCCGGACTGGCACCAACGAATCACAGGTGCTTGGTGAGTGTGTGATGCTGAAAGGGCTGGTGTTTGGGTCAGACTCAGAAGACATCAAATGAGGGCACGCATTTGGTGCTAGGAATGCTTTCAAGGACCGAGTTTGGTTGTGTGAGGGTGTAGAGATTATTGGTCGAATCGAGTCAGAAGTCATTAAGAGGGTGGAAAAGGTCGGGTTCTGGTGCATGGGATGCTGTTAGGTGGTGCACATTGCACACTGCACACCAGTGCATGTGTTGCTGACTTGTGGCTTCGTGAAGACTGGCTCGCTCGGTGTATTTAATCCCTTTTTTTCATCCACCTGTTTCTGCCGTTGAATCATTGCAGCTCATCCGTGGATGGCAGCCAACGGCTGTGATATGCCGCCATCGCCTGCACATAGCACAGCCTCTTCGACCGACACGTCAAGCCTTTCTGGCAGACGAAAGAAAGACATTGCTCGGTCTACGGGCACCATTTTCTCCTCGCTCGGAATGCCCTTTTGCCGTGTCTATCAAGGTAATGATGACGACGAGGATGATGACCAGAGTGTATCAGGTTTACAATAGAATATCATATAGTTTATATTTTAGATTTGAGTATTCGTAAAATTACTACGACTGATGTGTAACAGTAGGTATCACTTCTTCCGAATTTGTATCGCGGTCTGGTTCTGCTGTACGCCTTAGTGGACGTGCGTGAGGTTTGTCGAGATTCGCATTCAATGCTTGATGTCACGCGCAGAAGACGCCAATCAAATTGGCCTAGCCTCATCAACACAGTTTCAAGGCTCCCAGGCCTCAGGTACACTGGCACTGTTGGAATGCCAAAGCATGAGCTCTGATTCGCGCATCGTTGTCTGGGAAGCCCAAGGACCACCAGGTGATGTGCGAAGGGATGAGGAGCAACCGTTGGATGCGACAAATGTTATACTCGTTCTTCGACCTACGACGAGACGAAAATAGACGTCGAAACTAACGTCCCTTCCTCTTGCAATGCGTCGAGAACAGCAATGAAGCAGGCGTCGTTCTGTGATATTTGCCGAGTGAACGAGTAACATTGGTACGACTTAAGGATTATGTGTGTCCCAGTTATACATGAATTCACAGGAGCCTGCACAACAAGCTTGCCATCTATAACTGTCCGAACCGGTTTTCTAATTATGAGTTATCACTTCTCGGTCTACTTGATGAAATTTTTACGACAATTACGTGTAGCGGCATGTGGACTTGTGCCACGCTTTCAGCTCAGTGATCATCACTGTTGCGTACCCCACGTCGCATCAGATAGGGGAATCCAAGACCAAGAACGCGAGAAGCACTGTTTCTTGAAGCTGGAGGGCACTGCCTCAGCCAATAGCAAAGCGTTACGTTGCAAGCTGGCCTTTCCAAAACAAAGTTCGCCGCGTGGAACTGCTTCGCATGCCAACAACATTATTTCGCAACGCATCTCACCAGCCCGCGTTTCGTCAAGGACACTCGTCGCATAAAGCTCTGCGAATCTCTTATCATAACGATGTTCGGTTCATGACGATGCAAAATGTTTTCACAAGTTTCTGTTTGGTATTGCACGGTTGCTTTTACCTCCACTTGTATCCTTCTTCCTTGTTTTCGTTTGATTTCGTTACGCTGCACAGCGCATTTCTTTCTGGGCACCAGCTGGGAACAGCTTGCAGAATCACGTGCGTGCTTCTGCCAGCCCAACGACCCACCAATTCCCTTCATCTCGTTCCTGTCTCTCACGTCTCTTTCGATTTCGAATCGAACCCCATCCACCCCCAACTCATGCCTATCCATCCGTGAGTGTATCTAGCAGGCCGAGTCACCTAACCGCCACTCTCAGGGCTAAGAGCTGCCAGCTCTGTGCGTCGACTGCTGCCTCCCACTCCGCAACCCTCCATACTCCTTAGTATTCCCGTTTATTCCTCCGTATTTTTGTTAATCCTGTGCTACTTACCGCCAGCATCGATCGTCCAATCACAAAACTCCAAATGGACGACGAACCGCCGATACTCGCGTATCCCGTATCAGCCAATAGGCAAATCCCGTGGGACCCCGCTCAACGTCCGCCATCCCCGCTCAATCCCGCCTTTAGACGCTTCCCCGCACCCATTCCTCCCCGCACTTGCGCGCAAGAAGCTTCTGCCAGCCCATACGGTGCGAGCCCTCATAGCGGAAGCCCCTATGGCGCAATCCCTTCCGCTTCCCCCGTTCCGCTCCGCCGGTACAACTCTGTCACCTCCCCCGCTCCGCCGCCCGTTTCCGTTCCCCCCGCCGGATCTTCCCCCGCGCCCAAGTCTCCCCTCTTCCGCACGCCCTCGCTCGGCGCCCCCGTGCGAATCTCCGCCGCTAAAGAACAACCGTCGCCGCCCATGTTTCTCCCGCCCACCGCCTCCGAGACCCTCCCGATAGCAGTTCCGCTCTATATTCCCCCCAACCACCCCCCCGTGGGGCCGGCGGACCGTTCATTTGCGCCCAGCTGCGGGTATGAGCCGCGGGCGCAGCAGCTGGACCGCGCGTTTGCGCACGACGGCGGTTGCGCGTATGAGCAGCGGGTGCCGCCACGCGGACCTGCGGGCCCGCTCGCACGGGGAAACAGCGGCGCCGCATCCCGCCGCGCTGCGCCGATTCCGCGCCACTCTTCCCTCCCTCTTGCGGCTTCCGCCTATCCCAGCGGGAACTACTCTTCCGCCGTTACAAACAGCCCTTGTCCCGCTCCTAGTAACTATCAGCGACACGCGAAAGGGCCTGCTGGTAACCTGGTAACCAGCAGAGACAGCGGCGGGAAGTGCGTTCAGGCGGGCGGGTGGGAGAAACCGTTTATTCATCGGTCCACGTCAGCACCCGTGGCTGAAGACGAGGCTTGGGAAGAGGAAAGGGACTCTGGAGAAGAGGGAGAGGATTGGGAGGAGGAGATGGGGGAAAACGAGATGACGGCTGAAGGGGAAGAGCGCAGGGCGGAGATGAGCGGCGCGGGCGGATGGGGAGTGAGCGCGCGGACTGGGGGCCCGGCGGGAGGGGAAACGCGGGGATGGTGCGCGGAGGAACCCCGGCGGCAACTGGACAGGTCGTACCTGACGAGCCCTTACGAGCCGCAGCAGCAGCAGCAGCAGCAGCAGTCACACCTTGCGAGGCATTTAAGTCTCGAACCGCAATCCGCGGATAACCGCAGCGGGCAAGCGCGCGGGGACGGGGAGCGGGCGGAAGGGCGGGAGGGGAGAGGCGCGGGCCTACAGAGACAAGCATCGGACGGGCAGTGCCTGGCGCGCAACGGCGGGTATGCGCGGGGGGCACGCGGGGACGCGCAAGACGGGCAGGACAGGCAATACCCGGACAGACAAACCGCGGATAGGCAGTACCCAGATAGGCAATTCCAGGACAGGCAACAACCGGACAGGCAACAGCTGGACAGGCAGCAGCAGGACAGGCGGCAGCTGGACAGGCGGCATGTGGACGGTATGTACGTGGACAGGAGCGAGCCGGACCGCGAGCGACTGATCGAGCTGCGATTGCGGCGCGTGGAGCGGCGGCGGCAGCAGCAGTGGCACCACGAGCGACAGCGCAAGGCCGCGCACCGCCTGATGGCGGAGCGACGACAGCAGTGGGAGCTGTGGCGGCAGCAGCAGCAGCAGGGGCAGTGGCAGGGGCAGGAGGAACAGGGGCAGGAGGAGCAAGGGAAAAAGCAGGGGCAGCAGGGACAGGGGCAGGGGCAAGAGCAGCAACAGGAGTGGTTTCAAAAGCAGCAGCAGCAGCAGCAGCAACAGCAGCAGCAGCAGGTGTATGAGCAGCAACAGCCAGAGAGAGACGAATACGAGAGGGAACAGCCAGCCACGTCACCTTACCAGCAAGCCACGTCACCTTGCCAGCAAGCCACGTCGCCTTACCAGCAAGCCACGTCTCCTTACCAGCAAGCCACGTCACCATACCAGTCACTCACCCATCGCACACGCTCACTGCCTCAGCACTACCAGTCGTGCACCGACCAAGCCAATACTTCCTGCACCAGTTACGCCCTCCCCAGCAATCCTGCGTGCACCAACCACCTGCAGCGCGCCGCCTCGGATGGACGTGCGATGACTGGTCAGGTGGCACCTGTCGGGGAATCACCTGACGGAGATTCACCTGACCAGGTGGTTCCTGCTCAGCTGCTAGCGCCCAACCCGATGGCACCTGGTCAGGTGGCACCTTGTCAGGCGGCACCTGGTCAGGTGGTTCCTCAGCTGCTTCCGAGCAGGTCGCTGCGGCAGCTGAGGAGAATGCCCCCTCTTGATTCAAAAGCGCAGAAACAGCAGCCAGACACTCACACACAGCGGGCAGACACACAGGCACAGCGGGCATGCTTAGCTGCTCCAGAGCCTACCAAATCCTCCTCGCACCAGGCCTTGTCCCAATCCCCACCTCCTTGCTCGTCCCCTTACTCCCCTGCTCACTCCCCTCCCTACACCTCCCCTTGCTCCCCTCCTCTCTCCCCTCCTGCATCTACTGGAACCGCCATCTGCCACTCCCCTTCCCTCTCCTCCTCCTCTTCCTCCTCCTTTGTGTGGCCGAGGGGGAACGGACCCGACTTTGGGGCGGGCGGCAGGGCTGCGTTGGGGGGAGCGGATAAGTGGGTTGCATGCTTTGTCCCGCAGTGCTGGAACCGCAATTGACCGTAGTCTGAGATTTGATACTGCTGCTGTGAGATGATAGAGAGGTGGGCTGAAGAAGTGTTAACAAATGCCTTGCAGCAGTGTCATGTGCGCTGCCCACCCGGCAGCATTGCCCCTTGCAGCATTGGATTACACGAGATGTGCCCTTGCCACTGGTGTGTGTGCTGTGCTACCCATGTTGCACATATGCTGGTGTGCTGTAGTTAATTGTACCGTACCCTGTATTGTTGTGGAGTATACCAATCAGGAGCCTGTACTGTACATTCTGCAAGCCAGCTGTTAGTCAGCAACACATTGTACAGACAAGCGCCGGTGCGAGCATGAAACCCTAGGATACTCATTAAATCATGCTGAGCTGCATGGAAGTTGGATTGGAACACAGCTACTGTTACCGGTATTCACTTGTCCAACGTTATTCCAGCGAGCTATGCTGCTCCTGGCACAGGTACGGTAGCTGTGATGAAAGAGCCTGTTAGGTGCATCAATGTCAAGTCAAGATGCATCCACTCTAAACCCCTAGCCCTGTTCAGTGAACACCAGGCAGCTGTTCCCTCAGCAGCCACGTATCACACATGCCATCTCCCAGTCCTGCCCTGTCCTCACCAACAGGCTGCTGCAACCCACAGCAGCGTGCAGCAGACATTATTCGCCGATCCACCTCTATAAGGAAGCCTGCTGCTCGATACGGAGGGGGAGCGAGGAGTAAGGGGAATTGCAAGGGAAAACTGAGCGGGGAACGTCTCTTCTAGAGCAGCCAACAGTTGCTCCTTCTCTACTGCTCCAGTGCTATTCCCGAGGCGCCTAAGAGCAAGCCGACAGTCAGAGCATGCCGCCTGTCAGTCATCCCCAGAGTCTGGAACCACATGCCCTCAAGCCCACACAAGCAGCTCACCTCGTGGCAAGTCAACAGCGCGCACAGCAGGTGCCGAGAACCCGGGTCGCTGAAATCACCCACAAACTGTCTCCTTCCACCTTCCCAACCCTTTTGAGACGTCTCACAAGCTGCTCACCCCGTGGCAAGTCAACAGCGCGCACAGCAGGTGCCGAGAACCCGGGTCGCTGAAATCACCCACAAACTGTCTCCTTCCACCTTCCCACCCCTTTTGAGACGTCTCACAAGCTGCTCACCCCGTGGCAAGTCAACAGCGCGCACAGCAGGTGCCGAGAACCCGGGTCGCTGAAATCACCCACAAACTGTCTCCTTCCACCTTCCCACCCCTTTTGAGACGTCTCACAAGCTGCTCACCCCGTGGCAAGTCAACAGCGCGCACAGCAGGTGCCGAGAACCCGGGTCGCTGAAATCACCCACAAACTGTCTCCTTCCACCTTCCCACCCCTTTTGAGACGTCTCACAAGCTGCTCACCCCGTGGCAAGTCAACAGCGCGCACAGCAGGTGCCGAGAACCCGGGTCGCTGAAATCACCCACAAACTGTCTCCTTCCACCTTCCCACCCCTTTTGAGACGTCTCACAAGCTGCTCACCCCGTGGCAAGTCAACAGCGCGCACAGCAGGTGCCGAGAACCCGGGTCGCTGAAATCACCCACAAACTGTCTCCTTCCACCTTCCCACCCCTTTTGAGACGTCTCACAAGCTGCTCACCCCGTGGCAAGTCAACAGCGCGCACAGCAGGTGCCGAGAACCCGGGTCGCTGAAATCACCCACAAACTGTCTCCTTCCACCTTCCCACCCCTTTTGAGACGTCTCACAAGCTGCTCACCCCGTGGCAAGTCAACAGCGCGCACAGCAGGTGCCGAGAACCCGGGTCGCTGAAACCACCCACAAACTGTCTCCTTCCACCTTCCCACCCCTTTTGAGACGTCTCACAAGCTGCTCACCCCGTGGCAAGTCAACAGCGCGCACAGCAGGTGCCGAGAACCCGGGTCGCTGAAATCACCCACAAACTGTCTCCTTCCACCTTCCCACCCCTTTTGAGACGTCTCACAAGCTGCTCACCCCGTGGCAAGTCAACAGCGCGCACAGCAGGTGCCGAGAACCCGGGTCGCTGAAATCACCCACAAACTGTCTCCTTCCACCTTCCCACCCCTTTTGAGACGTCTCACAAGCTGCTCACCTCGTGGCAAGTCAACAGCGCGCACAGCAGGTGCCGAGAACCCGGGTCGCTGAAATCACCCACAAACTGTCTCCTTCCACCTTCCCACCCCTTTTGAGACGTCTCACAAGCTGCTCACCTCGTGGCAAGTCAACAGCGCGCACAGCAGGTGCACCTCCCCCCAGCTGCCCTCCCCTCTCCTCGTCTCCTCCCCTCCGCTACCAGGGCATCACAGCACCAGTCGGTCATGCGGGTATATGGAATCGGGGTCCTTAATCTGGGGGTTACGCCGCAGCACTTCCCCCACGCTCTGCCTGAACCGGTCTGCAATGGTGCTCAGCGTATCCCCCTCCTGCACCTCGTACACGCCCCCCTCCGCACTCCCCTCACCCTCCCTTCCTGCCCTCCCATCAGCGCTCTCCTCTTTCCTGCGAGCCTCTTCATAGCCCCGGCAGAGGTCTGAATACTTTTCCTCGTCCAGGCGACTGCATGGGGGGAAGGGGGAGTTGGGGAGGGGGGGGAGACTGGGGGGAATGAGATAAGGGAGGTCTCGACGATGGAATAGCCTCTTCGTACCCCCGCCAGAGGTCCGCGCACCTCTGATTGAAGAAGTGTTTTGATACGTCTCAAAACACTTCTTCAATCACATAGCCTCTTCATACCCCCGCCAGAGGTCCGCGTACCTCTCGTCATGCAGGCGACTGCAAGAGAGAGGAGGGGGCGCGTGGGGGTGAAGGTCAGAGGGTAGACACGGGCACCCGACGGTGGCTGCTTAGCCCCAGCAGAGGTCCGAATACATCTCCTCAAGCAGGCGACTGCAGGGAGTGGGCACGTGATTGAAGAAGTGTTTTGAGCCGAATACATCTCCTCAAGCAGGCGACTGCAGGGAGTGGGAGGGGAAGGGAGCAGAGGCGATGCAGTCAGAGGGTGAACTGCACGACAGCACAATGGCACCAAAGCCTTGGCAGAGGTTCCAATGGCACCAAAGTCTTGAAGCGACTGCATGAGCGGGTGGGGGAAGTGGGTCCACGCACGCGCCTTGGTCCGCGCGCGCGGCATGGGCAGGATCAATGGGGGAAGGTTTTGGGTTGGGAGGGAACATGGCAACGGGGTAGGGAAGGTGTGAGGCCCGGTATGACATGCAGCTGCCACCAGCCCCCACCATCACCCACCACCACCCACCAGAACCCACCATAAGTTACCATAACCCACCATAACCCACCATAACCCACCATAACCCACCATAACCCACCATAACCCACCATAAGCCACCATAACCCACCATAAGCCACCATAACCCACCATAACCCACCATAACCCACCATAACCCACCACAACCCACCACAACCCACCACAACCCACCATAACCCACCATAACCCACCATAACCCACCATAAGCCACCATAAGCCACCATAAGCCACCACAACCCACCACAACCCACCACAACCCACCATAACCCACCATAAGCCACCATAAGCCACCATAAGCCACCATAACCCACCATAACCCACCATAACCCACCATAACCCACCATAACCCACCATAACCCACCATAACCCACCATAAGCCACCATAACCCACCGCAACCCACCACAACCCACCACAACCCACCATAACCCACCATAACCCACCATAACCCACTATAACCCACCATAACCCACCATAACCCACCATAACCCACCATAACCCACCATAACCCACCATAACCCACCATAAGCCACCATAACCCACCATAACCCACCATAACCCACCACAACCCACCACAACCCACCATAAGCCACCATAACCCACCATAAGCCACCACAAGCCACCATAACCCACCACCAACCAGCAGCACCCATCTGCACCCACCAGATCTCAGCCATGGAGCGGCGGTCCCCATGCAGGCGTCGAATGACCATCTCCCGCTGCTGCCTCAACACCAGCTCCCACCCGCACCCACCAGCACCCACCAAAACCACCAGCAAGCGCCATCATCAACAATAAACTCGCCAGCACCCATTCGCACCCATCTGTACCCACCAGATCTCAGCCATGCTGCGGCGTTCGCCATGCAGCCGGCGAATGACCATCTCCCGCTGCTGCCTCAACACCAGCTCCGCCTGCTGCCACCTCGGCAGCGGCTCGGGACCCCTCCGCCACCCCCCGCTGCTGCTGCCGCTGGCGTTGCTGCTGCTGCCGGTTGTGCTGGTGGTGTTTCTTGCTTCTCCCGTTGAGGTTGAGTTTCGCTGCGAGCCGAGAGACATGAACCAGGGGGGACTGGGGGAAGGGTGCGGGGACAGGGAGGGAACGGGAGAGGACGGGGGACACAGAGCACAGTTGCATTCAGTCGAATGGCCATCCATCTCCCGCTGCTGCCTCAACACCAGCTCCGCCTGCTGCCACCTCGGCAGCGGCTCGGGACCCCTCCGCCACCCCCCGCTGCTGCTGCCATGCCATGCGTTGCTGTGCCATGCCATGACATGCTATGCTATGCCAAGTCCCGCTAATCCATATCATGTCATGCCATGCCATACCTGCCTTACCATGCCATACCTGCCTTAGTGCCATACCTGCCTTGCCATGCCAAACCATGACATGAAAGTAGCACCCATGGCAGCAGCAGCCATGACACCAGCAACCCCACAGTACTCACAACCAGAAGCACCCATGACAGCAGCACCCATGACAGCAGCCATACTGGCAACCCCACCAGTGCTCACCGTGCCTCCCGTCTGCCCAGCCCTGTCCGCTCGTCCTCTCCAACCACCTGCGCCGCTCCCCTCTCCCTCCCACCTTCCCTCCCTCGCTCCCTCCCCCCCTCGCTGCCCTCCTGCCCCTCGCCCTCGTCATCTGCTGCTGCGTGTATGTGCGCAGCAGCCACAGGGGTGTCTCCGAAGTTGAGCTCAAACACCCCGCCAAAGCCCCTGGGAGGGTGTGGAAAGGGGGGGAATATAGAGGGAAGAGAAGGGAGAAGAGAGTGGGAAAGGGGAAGAGGGGATGGATGTGGAACCACAAGGGACGGCCACAGACGTATCTCTGAAGTTGAGCTCAAACACCCCGCCAAAGCTCCTGGAATGGTGTGAAAGGTGGGGGGGAGAGGAAAGGAGAGAGGGGGGATAAGGGAAAGGAGGATGGATGGGAACTGCTAGGGAGCAGCCACAGGTGTATCCCCGAAGTCGAGCTCAAACACCCCGCCAAAGCCCCTGGGAGGGTGTGGGGAGATTGAAGGGAGGAAGGAAAGGGGGAGGAGAGAGAAAGGATAAGGGACGAGGATGGATGCAGAACCGCCAGGGACGGCCACAGGCTATGTGTGGAGAGGGAGTGGGGGAGCTGCAATAAAGCTGATGCTTATGCGTGGTTGATATTAGACGTGCAGCAGAAGATTGACACTCGCATGCCGAGATGTGGTTGCTGTGCAAAGTGGTCGCTGAAACTTGCACTAACTTACCACACCTGCATGCACCACACTGCACCTTCTTCCACAGTTTTGCGAGCGCACTCACATGCCAAGGTGTGGCCGCTGTGCGATGTGGTCGGTGAAACTTGGCCTCTCATACTCCAGCGCTCGCCTGCAAAGGAATTCATGGAGCAGTGCGGTGCAATGTGTTGCGTGCAATGTGGAGCAGTGACACGTGGCAGCACTCACCACATAAACCACTCGGTGGTAAGGTAGCGCAGGAAGCTGAAAAAAATGGACTTTACGAGAGCAGACGGGGCCTCTTCCGAGCCTCAGTTGCAGCAACACAGCAGTTGAGCCACCTCACTAGCACAGTCTACTCTGCTCATCCCCACTCCTCCCTCCTCTCCTACTCAGCTCCCCCCCTCCTCCCTTCCGCCCATTCACCTCCTCTCCTATCGCTTCGTCCCCTCTTCCCTCCTCTCCTTCCTCTCCTCTCCCCTCCTCCCACTCACCTTCTCCTCTCCTCCCTCGTCCGTCTGTTACTCCTATTCGCCACCACCATCGCTCCGCCCACCAACGCCACAGCCCCAGCGGCTGCCACCAAATCCCACAAGCCTCGTCGCCTCTACTCGCTCGTCCTTCCACTTACCTCTTCCTCTCCTCTCCTCTCCCATCCTCCCACTTACCTCCTCCCTCCCCTCTCCCCTCCCCTTCTCCCACTCACCTTCTCCTCTCCTCCCTCGTTCGTCTGTTGGTCCTATTCGCCATCACCATCGCTCCGCCCACCAGCGCCACAGCCCCAGCAGCAGCCACCAAGTCCCACACGCCTCTTCGCCTCTGCTCGCCCTCCCCCTCCCCCACCAGCCCCAGCGCGTGACTGTGGCTGCGGTGACTGCCGCGGGTGTGACTGTGGCGGGAGAGCGAGTGAGTGCTGTGCAGGGCGGTGGAGGTAGAGGAGGCGTTGGAGTGGGTGCGGGAGAGTGGGGAGGCCACTCTGCGGGGACTACTAAGGTGGTCCGGCTGGTGGGCGAGAGGAAGAGGGGGGGCAGGGGGCAGGGAGAGGAAAGCAAGAAAGAGAGTGGGTGCGGGAGAGGGGCGACGCCACTCTGCGGGGACTACTAAGGTGGTCCGGCTGGTGGCACAGGGGAAAAAGACCACGAGTCGGGGGGGGGGGGAGGGAAGATAACAGAGAGGAAAGAGAGTGGAAGAGAGAGAGAGAGAGAGTACCTCGCACGCGCATACTCCTTCGCACCTCGTCAGCTCGTAAGCCGGACTGGAGCGCGATGATGAACCGACTTCTACGATTTCGCCAAGGACTCTGGGCTGGCCTATACGAAGAAGCTGTCGAAGCGATTTCCATCCCACCGCAACCTCGCCACGCACCTGACACAACTGGGATACTGGCAAGGGCGGAAGGACTGGCGAAGCGTGGTAACCTGTCAAAATCTCTTCAATCCCTCCAAGCGACTCCAGTGTCACCTGCCTCACCCGAAGTACTGGAAGCCCTCGCGGCCAGACACCCACCTGCCTGCCAACTGCTCCCAGATTGGCTCCACGCTGCCACGGCGGAGAAATCACCCGCTATCGAAGCCCGCGACTTCAGGCGACTTATCGCCAAGCTCCCCAACGGAGTAGGGGCTGGCCCTTCAGGAACCACCTTCGAACACATCCGCGACGCAGCCCTAGGGAACGCCGAGGTATTCACCCACCTCCTCGCCCTCTCTAACACGGCTCTAGCAGGAAAACTACCAGCAGTCGCGGGAGAACTCCTTACCGCCTCCCGCCTACTAGCCTTTTCGAAGCCGCAGGGAGGAACGCGGCCGATTGCGGTAGGAGAGTGCCTCCTCCGGATTATCGCCAAAGCAGCGCTGTTCCTTACCGCGCCGGCCGCCCGCTCTCACTTCGCCCCCCTTCAATTCGGCGTAGCAGTAGCGGGGGGGATTGAAGCAGCCATCCACACGGCGCGTACATACCTGGAAGTCCACCCTGACGCAGTAGCATTGCAGATTGACCTCGCGAACGCGTTCAACGCGGTCGAAAGGAGAGCGGTGTTCGAGGGACTTAAAAACGAGGCTCTGGATGCCCTGATCCCCCTCGTCCGCCTCTCCTATGGCGCTCCCTCCTCACTCTACCTCGACCACGACTTCGGAGCCGCCCCACTGCAGAGCGCCAGAGGAGTCCGCCAAGGGGATCCGCTCGGCCCCCTCCTTTTCGCGGCAAGTATCCACCCGTGCCTTGTTGACACGGCGGCTGCACACCCCCAAGTGGTGCTGCTGGCATACGCCGACGACATCACGCTGCTCGGTGACGCCACGGCCTGCACAGCAGCATTTGAACACCTCACAAGCGCGCTGGCCGCCCTCGGCCTGGTACACAATCCGGCCAAGTGCGCGGCGTGGTCCGCTGCAGCTATCGACCCCTCATCCGTCCCTCGCGGCATCACGATTTCCGTGGAGGGGTTGCAGATACTTGGCAGCCCTGTCGGCACCCCCCAGGGCTGCGCTGGTGCGGCGAGAGATCGGCTAGCGGCGGCCGCAGCTCCACTCCCCCTGCTGGCCCAGATGGACCCCCAGCTCAGCCTCCTCCTCCTCACCCGCTGCGTCAGCCGCCGCGCCTCCTTTCTGGCCAGAACCACCCCCCTGGAGGCGCTGCCCGAGGCGGAATGGTCCGCGTGGGGAGAGCAGCTACTTCTCACCTTCCTGGAGTCGGCCCACATCATGACCCCGAGGAGCGCCAGGGAGAGACGCCGGATATGGCGGCAGGCAGCCTTGCCGGTGACGCTGGGGGGCCTCGGCATCACCGACCCCGCCGTCGAAGGCAGCTACGCCTACCTCGCCTCGGTGGTCAGCGCAGCGCACCTCCTACGCTCCCTGGAAGATTCTCTGCACCCTGCATTAGCTGCGCTCCTCCCGTTACTGGACCCGGCCCACGGCTCCCAGCACGCGCTGCCAGCACGCCTCGCCGCGGCGGAGGCGGCCCTCCCCCCAGAAGCTCTCGAAGCACTCCAGGCCGGGAAGGCGGACCCGAAGGGACTAAAGTTGCAGCAGAGCCTGGCACTGGCGGTTCACTCCCGCCGCTTCCTGAGGGTTATGCGCGAGGCGAGGCGGATGCGCCCCAACCCCCTCTCGGGCCACGCGCAACGAATGCAGTCGGTGCTCGGCCCAGGCGCAGGGGACTGGCTGCTGGCGATCCCCCTCATCCCCTCGCTTCGGATGGGCCCGTCCCAGCTCTCAACGGCAGCTGCCTTCCGCCTAGGCCTCCCCCTCCCCGTGCCTAGACGTTGTGATTGTCGCTACCGCACCACCTTCCCTGACGATCGTCTCCCCAACCACCTCATGCGCTGCGAGAAGGGGAAGGGGAGGACCGCTACCCATCACGCCCTGCGGGATGAGATAGCATGTATAGGGGCGGAGGCTGGCTTTACGGTACACAAGGAGACGTACGTCTACTCTCAGGTTGAAAATCTAAAGGCGGATGTCACGATCCGTCATCCCCTGACCGGAGAAGTTTGGATGTGCGACGTAACCGTAACGGACCCGGTGTCTTACCAGGACGAGAGCTGCAACCGAGCTCCTGGATGGGCGGCTAGGGCGGCGGCAGCAAAGAAGGAGGAGAAGTACGCCCGCAGGAATGCGTGGGTGGGGTTCCACGCGCTTGCGGTGGAAACGTACGGCTACCCCTCGCCCGGGGTGATGGCTTACCTTCGGCAATGCGCAGAGCTGGCGGCGAAGCTGCGGTTTAACGCGGCTCCAACCTCGTACGAAGCAGCGAAGCTGCTGACAGAATACCGCCAGCGCTGGAGTGTGTGCCTCCAGCGGGCGCAGGCCAATGCGCTCCGCACCAAGACCAACGAGGCCTTGGCTGCAGACGAGCTTGGCTTCCGGGGCCCCATAGTCCCCCTCAGCGAGGGGCAGCTTCACCAGCTGATTGAGGCCCCGTCCGACCAGTAGGGTCGGGCCAAGGGAGGGGCTCTGAGTGGGTAGGAGTTTGGAGGTGGTTAGGTCTCTGGTTTGGGTGTTTGTTTGTTAGCACGCGTGTTTGCAACTTCCTTTGTACCACCCCTTATGTAATGCACGGACCATTCGAGAGAGAGAGTAAGGAGTTGGAGTGCGTGTGGGAGAGGGGCGAGGCGAGTCCATGTGGACTGCCCAGGTGGTACGGCTGGTGGTGCATGGTGGGTGTGGGGTGGGGTGGGAATGGACACAAGCTTTGCAGAACGAGAGGAAGGCATGGAAACGAAGGCACAGGAACAGAAAGAGGGGCAGGAAAGGTGCAGCCAGGGAAGGAAGAGGGGGGTGGGAGGGCGTGAGGGGAAAGAGCGGAGGGGAGTGTGGGAAGAACAACGGGAGGGGGTTGACGATGGGGAGAGCGAGGGAGAGCCAGGGAGAGCGAGGGAGAGGAGGGACGAGGACGTACGAGAACGGGGGTGAGGGAGGTGGGGTCGGGCGGAAGGAAGCGAGGCGACACGTCCACCGGAGCAGCAGACACAGCAGCCCAAGCTCCAGCAGCTCCAGCAGCAGCAGGCACAGCAGCAGCAGCACTGGCTCCCAGGTGACGCTCCCCGCTCTGCTTCTGCTTCTGCTCTAAACCGCGGTGATATTCACTTAAACGGTGACTGTCTTGGCGAGATTCCAGAGCAGAAACGCGGTGGTGTTGGTCCCGATGCTGACTGTGGCGATTGTACAGATGCTGCTGCTCGTGAGGTGCATCATGCACGCGGTTGCATTCACTAGAGTGCTGCCTGTGACGATGGTACACGTGCCGCTGCTCGTGGCTCTCATGCCACGCATCCGCCCTCTCGCCCCTCCAATCCTGCCCACGCACCCTTGCACTACCTGCCACTGCCACACCTGCTACAGCTGCACGCTCTGTAGGTGCTCCTGCTGGCGCTGCTGCTGGCGCTGCTGCTGTGGCAGACTGCATTGCTCCCCCCACGCATCCCCCCACGGCCCTCCCATGCACGCGGAGCGATGGCAGGCCAGCAGGGATAGCGCCCGCCATGCTCCGCCTCTCCTCCTCCTTCAGTCCAAACCATGCAGGTGCATTCAGGGCTTCGGCTGCATGTCCATGCGAAGGTAAACCTGCTGCACCTGCTGCACCTGCTGCACCTGCTGCACCTGCTGCACCTGCTGCACCTGCTGCACCTGCTGCACCCGCTGTACCTGCTGCACCCGCAGTTCCTGTCACAGCTGCAGCACCTGTGGCACTGTTCCCCTGCGCGCTGCTCTCCCGACCTGAAGAAACACCTGCTTCTCTGTTGGTGCTTGACAGCGCATCTGAGTCTGGCGGCTCTGAATCTAACGACTCGGTGGCAGCAACAGCAGTGGAAGCAGCAGAAGCAGCAGCAACAGCAGCAGCAGCGGCGGCGGCGGCAGCAGCAGCAGCAGCAGCAGGGGATGGTGGAGGGAAGGGTGATGGAGGCCGCGCGTGTCAAGTCAGCCAGAGAAGGAGCAAGAGAGGACGGCTGAGCACAAGGGTTGAATGAGAAAGAAGTGGCGGTGGCGGAGGAGGAGGAGGAGGAGGAGGAGGATGAGTCTCTGGCGAGCAGCAGAAGAGGCGGTGACCATAATGCCGTCGAAATCCCGGATGCCCACTAGCCGCTTGGACAGCGTGCGCAGGCACAGGCACACGCGGCGAACGTCCCTGCCATCCACGAGGTCAGGCGAGGTGAAGAGCGATACGTCCCTCAGACCCACCCGCCGACACACCTGGGGAGAAGAGGAGGGACATCGGAGGAACAGCACGGGAACAGCGGGCAAACATAGGGTGACATGACATGGCAGTAAATGGGTGCAAACCACGAGGTCAGGCGAGGTGAAGAGCGATACGTCCCTCAGACCCACCCGTCAACACACCTAAACGGGGGAACGGGGGACATGAGTGTAAGGGAACGGAAGGCTTCTCTTGAATCTACGAGGTCAGGCGAGGTGAAGAGCGGTACGTCTCTCAGACCCATAGATCCATCCCGCACAGCCACACGAGGAGTGTCGGCTATGTTTATTAGGCGCCTAAAAAAACGCCTCACTATGCGCTTACTGTTGAGGCGACTCATGAAAATACCCAGCACAGCCACAAAAGGAGCGACGGCTACGCCCTGGCGTCTTCTGAACGGCCATACCAGCGGCCTGGCGAGGAGAGCAACGGAAATCCCAACCCTCACACCAGCGGCGCTCACTTTGAGAAAGCGCTCCACGTTGGTGCACGCGTGCCAGTACGCGCGCTTAAAGCCCGACCCGCCCGCCACATCACCACTCTCCTCGCTGGAACAACCCCTGTTTGCGCTGCTGCTGCTGTCACCGCCAGCACTAACACCACCACCACCACCCTCAGCAGCACCGTCAGCAGCATCAGCAGCCGCAGCGGGAGTCAGGGGGACGCTGGCGGAGGGGGGGACGTCGGGCGCAAGCAGTTGCTGCACCAAACACGCGAGCTCGAGGCTGTATGGGGGGGAGGGGGAAGGGGTGGGGGGGGAGGACAGATGGGGAGAGGGGAATGGGAAGTCTCAGAACTCGGAGGGGGGGACGTCGAGCGCAAGCAGCTGCTGCACCAAGCAGGCGAGCTTTAGTCTGGAGCGAGGGAGGGAGGTGAGGGGACGAGAGGGGGAGAGCCGAGTGGGAACCATTGGAGGGACTGAAAGGAGAGAGGGTGGAAGCGGCAGATCGAGGCTCGAGTACGTGAGACGTGGATTTCTGGAACGGAAGCTGATGGCTGGGTGGTAGAGGATAACTACGTGGGAGAGGATGGCTGGGTGGGAGAGGATAACAGCTACTAAGGGAGAAGAGGGGAAGATGATGAAGTAACACTGGGAATACGCGGGTAGAAGCAACGAACGAAGCGGGCACCGCGCAATAGGGTCAACGCGAACGGCATCCAGAATCCAGGAGGATAAGAAGCATCGTCTCGAAGCATTAAGAAGTAGAGGCATCGTCGACTAGAGGCAATGAGGACTCACAGTATTTCGCCATCCCCTAGCAGATCGCTCAACGGCTTATCGACGGGAAGCGTTCGCGACAGAGTCTGTGACAACCAGCGACGAGCTTGCGACTGAATGGAGCGAAAGAAAGCACGCGTGCGAAAAAACGGAGTAAGAAAGAAAAGATGAAGAGCGTCGCAACTCTAGGAAACTACGGGATACAGGAGTGAGCATCTACAATATGGAGGTAACCACTTCAAACGAAGCTTCGAAGCTTTGAAGCAGGATGGCATTTCGCAGATCAAGCTCGACCACATGATTATCGAGTCGAATTAAAAAAAAACTGTAATCACCTACACCACATGCACCTGCACTGACGCGGCGCTACCTCTAAGTACTGCTCGTCGATGGACGCAGCTCCGCTTGTTACACTTGCGACGGTAACCGGAATGTGCGACTGAGCTGGCTGCGCTGGCGACGCGGAGAGGTCAGATGCTACCATTTTGACGACAAGCGACAAATTGATTCGGCTGACGAAGTCGCAGGCAGCCCTGTACTATAGCTCTATAACTTATAACGGCCAGATTTGTGATCACGAGACTATGTCCCTTCCACAGAGTCTAGACGGCGGATCGGCAACACCCTTCGCATCGACGCGCTACGAAGCGCTACGACGTGTGCACGGGATCGCCACTATACGGCCCTACTAATTGGCTGATGCCAGGTGACTCAACTGGTTGATCCATTCCGTGCTGTGCTTGTGCGGATTGTCATTCTCTTCGCGTAACTTTTCCGACGAGCGGGAATGTCGGGGCGGAAGCAAGCGGAAGTGATGTGCGCGGGGAAGCGGAAGAAATGCGCCAGGCTCTCCGCTCCTCTGATTCTGTCCATCCAAGTGCAAGCTCTTCGCGGACCTTGGTGATTTTGGTGCAGGGAATAACGCGGGAAGACTGACGCAAGGCCGCTGATTGGCTGAGTTCGTATTGGCGGTAAATTCTCAAGTTGTCAGGGCGCGTCACCTCGTCGATTGGCAAGCACCCATCATCCACCGCACTTACAACCATTTCGTTACTGTACATTGATTTTTTTTAGAACCGTTCTCAACGCCGTGAAGATTCGATCCTGCGCAACCTCCTTTGTTTAGTGCTGACCAGTTGGTTTGGTTGACGCAAGGAATCACTTGAACGGGGGCCATGGTCTGAGCAGGCCAATGCTCTGGCTATGCTTTTTCTTACAAGGTATTGTCACCTGAACTTGATCACTATTATCAACTCTCAACATCAACAGCAACTTAAGATTCCATTATGATTAAACCGCAGTACAACAGATAAACTTTGTACTAGGTACTAGGCTCCATGAAATCCTAACAGCTCTTGCTTGAGCAATGAAGGCCACAAGTGGATGCTGTTGAAATTACAATGTTGATGCACCTGAGTAACCTGCAGAGTGCATACAAGAACGTTAATCCTCTGGCAGAAGATGAATGAAAACAGAGAAAGCAGGAACAGCTCACCTGGCAAAAGTCTAACTGTCTCATGCTGTTGAAGATACAATGTTCATGCACCTAAATAACCTGCAGAGTGCAAACAATAATGTTAATCCTCTGGCAGAAGAAGGAATGAAAGCAAAGAAAGCAGAACTGCTCACCTGGTAAATGTTTAACTGTCTCATGCCTTAGAAGCTGCTGGCTGCAGGCAGGAGGCATTGAGCCATCCTCCCACACCCCAGGGAGGACTGGCCCACCCTCAGGGTTGCTAGTATCAAGACATGCGGGAGCCCATGTGCACACGCCGGTTCTGTCAAGTAGCAGAGCTGCTGCAGTCAGCTCTACTACCGGACAGAACCATTGTGTGTGTATGGCCCGGATTCGAGATTAGCCAACCCCAAGAGTGCTCTCAACCATGCCTTGGTGCCTTAAATGCCACTTGCCACGCCAACCCCTCATGGGGCACCTGCAGGAGACAAGAGAAAACGTCAGTACCTTGGTAAAAGCAGTAAGAAAAAGCTGGAAGTTAACATATGTACCTTCGTAAAGAGGATGGTGAGCGCCTTGAGTGGAAACTGTTGGTCGAAAATCTCCATTGCTGAAATACCTGCAGGGTGAAAAAACGAATGTCAGTCTGGGTGCGGAAGAAATAAAAAAGCTGAAGGTTGAAATCAGTACCTTGGTGACCTTGAATGCTGAGATGCTTGACTTGTTAAACATCTTGAGGGACGAATGGCCGTTAGAGGACTCAAGAGGTGACGTAACTGCGGAAAGGAAACAAAGAGACGTTAGTCAAGGTTAAAACGAAACTCCAACAAAAAACGATTTAAGAAGTCAAGAACGTTACCTTGGTGGCCTTGGATCTTGGGATGTAATGCCAATTGTTGAAGGTCTTGAGGGGCAAGAGGCTGTTGAAAGGGCGTAGTGAGGCATCTGCAGAAAGAAACCAAGGAGAATCAGTCAAGGTTGAAACGAAAAACGGACAAGTAACAAGGCAAATCAAATACCTTGGGGGCCTTGGGTGTTAGAATGTTTATATGTTGAAAATCTTGAGGGGAGATGGTTGTTGAAGGGCTGAAGTGGTGAGGTATCTGCAGAAGTAAACAAGGAAACGTCAGTCAAGGTTTTAACAAAACAAAGAACAATAAACAATTTAAGAAGCCAAGAGCGTTACCTTGTGGCCTTGGATGTTGGAATGCTTCATTGCTGAGTGTCTTGACAGGGAAGTGGCTGTTGAAGAGCTTGATTAGTGAGCTGCCTGTGGAAAGAAAAACAAGGAGTTGTCAGTCAAAGTTGGATAGTTGAACAACAGTTGACCACTGAAAGTTGAGAGCTTTACCTTGAATTTCAAAGCTTGAAAACTTTGAAGGGACTTGGTGGTAAGCATTATCTTCAAAGCATCCAGGTAAATTCTCTCGGTAGACCACACAGCGTTGAGAAGAAGACCTGCCAATTGAAGGGAAGGTTTGAGAAAAAATGTTAACAAAAGTGGCACTAGCAGATCCATGGAGGACCAAGTCATGTATCATGAGCATGATGGGAGAGATAGATGAGCATAGATGAACGAGCGCAAACCACCACATCCACACAAGTCAAGTACCAGAAAAATACCTTAAGGGACCTGAGGATCTCACCAGAGAAGAGTACCTTTTACCAAAAACTGACCAGCTAAGGGGGAATGACTCATGTAGTGACGGTGGTTAGCGCTCATGCATATATGCATAAAGGTGCATGCCATGATGGAAATGAAAGCATGGTGTAAAGCTCAAAATAGCAGAAAAAACCAGCAGAAACGCAATACCAGAGACGAGGCTCGAAAGAAAACTTATCTCCACATTGATGCCAGTTGAAAGTCTTCAGTGCTTGTTCCAGATGTGCTTTTAAACGCTTGAAAGTTGACTTCGCTGCTTCAATGTTGGCTCCAGGAAGTCTCTTCAATGATGGCTTGTTGAAGGCTTGACCGTAGCCTTGATGAAATTGAGCGCAGTGTTGCTCTTGATGGCGGAAGAGAATCTGCCATTGGAGGATAGAAAAGGGGGAATGAGTGAGTACATGTAGCAGTAGAATGTCGAAACGAGCAAGGTAAGTAAGAATGTGTAAGACGGATGGTACGGGTATGCAGGAACACGATGCAAAAGCGCTTAACACAACCGCTATAAAGAGCCAAGTACCAGAATATACCAGTAAGAGACCTGAAGAACTCACCAGAGGAAGTACCTGATACCAAAAATACCATCTAAGGGGAATGACTCCTATAGCAGTTGTGCTAAGCGCTCCAGCATGACAAAAAAATGATGATGAAAACGATGATGAAAAACATTAGCGGGAAAATGAGTTGAGAGAATCAAGATAAGGTTGATACTTATCTGTAATCGAAGTTCAGATCTTGAGTGTTGGTAGGACGACGTTTTGACTTCGAGTCTTGGTGTGGAGTACTGGCTTCGAACCGCAGCAGCAGTGTTGGCTCCAGGAAGTCGCTTCAATGATGGCTTGTTGAAGGCTGGACCGTAGCCTTGATGGCGTTGAGCGCTGTGTTGCTCCCGATGACGTCCAAGAAGAGCATCTGCCATTGAGAGATAGAGGAGGGAGAGTGAGTGAGTACATGTGGCAGTAGAATGTCCAAACGAGCAAGGAAAGTAAGCATGTGTAAGATGGGTGGTACGGGTATGCAGGAACACGATGCAAAAGCGCTTAACACCACTGCTATAAGAGTCAAGTACCAGAAAATACCAGTAAGAGACCTGAAGAACTCACCAGAGGAAGTACCTGATAAAGAAAAATACCATCTAAGGGGAATGGCTCCTATAGCAGTTGTGGTAAGCGCTCCAGCATGACAGAAAACGATGATTGAACCATGAGCGGAAAGTGAATTTGATAGAGAAACGGAAGGGTTTATTGATACTTATCTGTATGTATCTGCAGATCTTGAGTGTTGATCGACGTCGTCTTGGTTTGCAGTCTTGACTGTTTGATCTTGACGGGATGAAATCCGACGGTGCAGCGAGCCTTACTTCTCCCAGGTAATATACGCATCGCCGCGGAGAACCTGCCAGAGAAAACGAAGATAAGGGAGTCGCGATAAGTTCAAAGTGGCAGTAGGACGCGATAAACGAAAAAATGCGACGAAGCATGTGGGAGGGAGGGGGTATTCCAGTCAAAAACCGCACCGTAGAGCTCAGACAGACCGACGCATGCACGAACTTAGCGACGCTGACACTAGACAGACCTAGAGAGAGACTAACCCGGACCTAGGGGAAGAGACAGGGAGCTCTACGGGCGGAAATTTGGCTGGAAAACAAACAAACAGAAACGGATGAAAAAACAAATTGCTGGCACGATGAGGGCGACGTGAATACTTAGCTGGAAAGATGAAGATCGGTGGTGAACGTAGGCTGGAGGATGTAGGACCGTGGAGCTGGTTGAGTTATGTCGGATAGACGTGCCGCCGGCGTCGCGATGAGTGCACAGAGTGGGGGTCCAATGGCTCGAGTGACCTTGGAGAACTCGATCATGCTTGAGCAGCTTGCGAAACATGAGCAAAGGCTTCAGCTTCCATTGGAAGAAGTCGAGTTGCACACGTGCAGACGTTGAACACATTAAGCTAGAAGATCGACGGTGAATCGTAACGGAGAAACTCGTCGTTGAAATCAGAAAGCAGGAGACTGATGTGCGAGACAACAATAAATCGTTGCTATTTATGATTGCACAGCCACGGATGTGGGACCTTGAAACTGACTAGACGGTAGTAGAGGAAAAGCAAGGGAAGGGAACGGAAAAGCGAGGAGCTCAACCCAAAGAGACTCTGTCTCGAGTCGCATGCATTGGGGTTGGTGCTAAAATCAACGGATACGCGGCGATTGCGGGAGAATTTTAGGAGCCGACGGGGTTGGTTCAAAGGGAGACATTGGCGGTGGGGATTGAGGCAGCTGATGTGTCAGGGAGATGGGGTGGATCCTCTTAGGGTTTCATGGGGAGGGATGTGAGACCCTTGGGTTCTGTGGGATTGGCGAACGTCGCAAAGTGTCTCCTGATGTGAGGTTCCTGTTTTCGCTACTAGTGCGGTGTCGTCACTGTCAGATTGGGTGACGAAAGTTGGGCCACCACCACCCTCGTGATTGGCTCGTCAAATCCGGTTTGCGCTGCTTCCGCGGCGAACACGCTGGGTTTGGCAGGTTTGCAAAACTCTTGGCGCGCGGAGCGCTGCGCAAAGCGGAGCGCACAGCCCCACATAGAGCTGAGAAATGGCGGGCTGATTCCGTCATTTTAGAGAGTTTTGCTCAATTTTGCGGAACCGCGCTTCGTTTTATTTTCGCCACGTGGCGTGCCTACGATCGCGCAAACCGCGATCTGTTTTATTTTCCCCACAAATTTCAAGGGAATTTTAGTTAAGTTCGGAGGGTCACATGTACTGCGCTGCCCGCGGGCAAAATAAAACCCAACTGGGCCTGGCATGCGTTCAGGATGCATCAAACCTAAAAACATGGAGGCAAGGTGTTTATGGTTGATGCCTCCCTAACACATGCCAGCCCAAAAGGGTTTTATTTTTGCCCGGGGGCAGCTCAGTTCATGCGATCCACTAAACTTAACATGAAAATTGTGGTAACAATAAAACAGATCGCGGCTTGCGCGATCGTAGGCACGCCACGTGGCGATAATAAAACAAAGTGCGTTTCCGCGGATTTGAGCAAAACTCTCGTCATTTTAGCTCTTCCTTCCGCCCTCCCCCCCACCCACCCTCCCCACTCTGCTATTCTACCAACGGCCAATGGGATTGGGCATTTTGCAAAGCTCAACAACAGCGCCGAAACTCGACCATCATGCGATTGGTTTGCGAGGAACCCATCATGCGCCGGTCGCACAGTAGCACAGTCGCACACCAGTTCCATGGGCCATCCATCCATCATCCAGCCAGTCTCCAGGCGCAAACGACGCTGATTTGGTCCAATGGGAGCAATTTCGTGATTCAGGAGGTCGCACATCAATCCCAGCCCAGCAGGGAAGATGTCATGAAGTTCCTGAAGTACCGAATTAGAACGCTATCTATCTAGCCAGAAAATGCACCAACCGCATTCCAAACCAGCTCGAATGGTGTTTAGTCAGAAAACGCACCAGGTATATAAGACAATCGCAAGCCTAGTCTACCCCACACCAACTTCTCCTTCATCCAACTCCGCTGGTGCAGCAGTCTCCTGCCAAAAGCGCGGTAGCCATAAGCTGAAACCCTAGATTCCTCCCCATCCGACACAACACACATAACTAGGATACACTTCCTGTGTTGGCGCTATAGCTTCAGCAGTCGTTGTCTGGCAGTTCGGCTGCGCTGGCAGGTTCTTGCCGGACCCCTTGGTTCTTAGCTCAACGGCGAGGTGGATTCGAGCTTTGAGGTGGATCTTGAGTGGCAGCTGTTTGAGTAGTATTTTGTTGATAAATACCTGGATTCTTCGGTAGAACATAGCCTGCTAGTCCCGTGTCTCACCACTGTTACCGTATCATTATCTCAACGCACCTTCAAGCCTGGCCTCGAGTGGAAGACTCAACTTACTGGTTACACTTAGGATATTTGGTCCCAAAAACATTTCAGAAAGTGGCAGAGAGGGGGTGGAGGGAGCCGGCGAGGCTCCTTTCGCCGTCAACTCACGCCTGACGGACGTCAGTCGCGATGTCGGCGATCGTCTGCGGTAAGCGGTCAGCGTTCGAGGAGAGCACGGTCGAGGTCTTCCATCCAGCAAGCCGGTCCGCGTTCGACGACAGCATCTACGTCGCTCTGCCGCCCGTTTCCAAGCGAGGTCGCTGGTTGCAACCGTCGTCGCCGTCGCGCTGCGCGTGGGCCGAAGAACCGGCAGGCATAAGCGTTGGGATTCGCGGAGGGTCGTTGGCGGAGAAAGTGGTGCTGCTGCGAAGCATGTTCGGCGGCGTGGAGGAGCAGGTGAGCGGATGTCTATTTCCGTCCAGTCTTTTAAAAGGAGCAGATACCTGTGTTTTGTCGGTCTGTTTTCGCCTTTTCACTTGTTGCGTGAATTTGCCTTTCTTGCGATAATGTCGTCGCCTCAGCCTGACTGCAATAACGAGCACGGAAGCTCTGCGTCTCATCACCACTCCGTATCCCGCCTTTCTTTCTCCTCTCGTGGTCGCGTCGCAGGTCGTTCACCAGGTGTTGGAAGCGTGCAATCACGACATCGACTCCGCCATCCAGTCGCTCAAGGGTTTGCGAATCATCGCCGCGGATAACGCCGCGCTACCACACGCTCAGCTCCAACATTTCGCTGATCCCGTCGCAGCTCGAGGTGGGTGCCTTGCTGTGTGTGGTCTCTCAGATTCCCGTTTCATTTTGTTTGTTTCAATCCGTTTCAACTACTCCGTTTTTTCCCTGATTCGTGCCATCTCTCAGCCGCGGAGCAAGCGGATCAACACTCGCCGACAACAGGGCAAGCGCAACCTCTACAGGAGCCGCTGCAAGGTCAAGCAGGTCCCGCGCCCGCATTAGATTCAACAGCCGCAGCAGGAGGAGGTGATGTAGGAGGAGTGGGAG